AAATACAATATATATTTTATTTAATTATAGGTCAAAGATTGAAAACGGTTGACTAAAAAAAGTTAAAGTTGGACAAATACTCCGGGACAGAGGTAGTTTTGTTTTAATATGAGTACTATTCATTTCATTATGCAAAGCATAATGACCTTTTTATTTATCTTTTCATTAAATATCGATTGTCAGTTTTTTTTGTAACCAAAAGTAGATCACGTGGATAAGTAAAATAAAGAGAGAAAGACTAAAATAAAATTAAAATATAGGGAAGAAACCAATATAAGAGATTCATATATATATCTCCAAAATACGACATATGTTGTACTCTCTCTGTCCCAAATTATAATGCATGTTCACTATTCACAGGGTCAAACTTCATTTTCTTTCTCTATTTTCGTTAGCAATTTGATAAAATAAAGTACTATTGTCACTACTAGTTTTGTAGATCTTTTGATGTAGTATTTTAATATGTAATTTTTATTTTTTTAACTATATACCATTTGTCATATAAAATGATTTGATAATAATTTCAGTCACACATCATAAACCAAAACAGGGCGTTATAAAATGGGAAGAAGGGAGTATAATGTTAGTAATACAATACCAACATATAATACCAAAAAGCATTTTAAAATGTCAATACAGTAATCCTATTTTAGAGATAAAAACATAAAACTTTTATTTTAGTAATAATAGTTCTTTTCTACTCTTATTTTGAGTTATTTTTTTAAAATAAAATGCAGATTCTGATGGGAAGGGCTATAACCGTGCCACCTCATATTTTTGAGCTCTTTTTGGACATGCATAGTTGAAATTACAATATGATATGTAGGAATTACATTATATTTTGGTTTAAAGAAATTATTTATCCTACCATGAATGCTACTCGATCTCTAGTTTTTACGAAGATATGAAGTTTTAAAAGTTAGTGGGAATTTCAACACCACCCTAACAAGAATGTTATCTATGTACTCGAGCCGTTTTACTTAATTCGTCAATCACTGCTTTTAATATTCTTCTTCATTTTAAGTTGAAAATTTTTGAAAGATCTTTATGAAACAAAGTGGTTTGTATAATTGTAAGATGATGCCGAGTAGTTCAAAATCTCAAGAATATTATCAAAACCTGAAGGAAGTTACAGCCCACACCATCACAACCCTAACCACTACAAGTGGAATTGGATGCCCAATCAATCAACCTATTCTTAAAAGTAGGGGAATTATGCCCCATGCTTTTTCCCGCCCAATTGCCAAGCCTTATGAGCCATTGATATTTGTCAATCTATGCATCTACGACTCATATTTACTGCGGATGAAAAGGAGAAAAAAAGGAAATAAGTATTAAATAAGTACAACAAATCAACCTATTCTTAAAAGCAGGGAAATTATGCCCCATGCTTTTTCCCGCCCATTTGCCAAGCCTTATGAGCCATTGATATTTGTCAATCTATGCATCTACGACTCATATTTACTGCGGATGAAAAGGAGAAAAAAAAGAAATAAGTATTAAATAAGTACAACAAAAAGGCTTTAAAAGGAATCACATTTATATACGATATTAACATAATTACACAATTTTATATCTAAATTACTAATTAATAATAATTGTAATGGAAAAAATTAATTTATTCCCAGGGAAATGATTGGTTAGATTAAAAAAAAGAATCCGAGTATATTTAATAAATAAAAAGTATAAAACGGAAATTATTAATAATTTAGATTTAACGTGTTAGATGCCTTGGTAAAAAATACGAGTAATTAATAATTTGTAACGAAAAAAATGAAAATAATTAATAATTTGTAACGAAAAAAGTATTAATTATTTGGAAACACATTTATACAATATTGTAAGAATGCATAAGTACCGTATTCTTAAAAAGGGAAACACAAGAAATGTATTTAAGGAATTAAGTGATTACAAAAAAGGAAATCCCATGCATATATTAAATAAATACACAGTATAAAATTCGTATATTTATTATTGATTTGGAGGAAAAAAGGAAAGCTACCAATTATACTTATTTTGCAATAATTCATACTCCGTATATTTATTTCGTTTCCATTTACGAAAATAGGAAAGCTACCCATACGAAAATATGAAGGGACAGTGCAGGAGATTTTTTATATTTTGTCTCCTTTTTAAATAGGTAATTATTTACGCCTAATTATTACTATTATTATTATAATTACTTGGAATAATTTACGCCTGATTATTTTATCAAAAAGTAATTATTTATGCCTAATTAAATAGGTAATTATATACTTAATCACCCTATTCTTAAAAGAAAATACTTTTAAGAATAATAGAATGATAAATTAAAGGAAATTTCGGATGCATAATTACTTAATTCTGATAAAAAAGCAAGAGACTAATTTCGCAAACAAGATCTACGTTGTTTCCTTTTTAGAATAATTTCACATGCATAATTACTTAATTACTCTATTCTTATTTAGAATGATAAATTAAAGGAAATTTTGCATGCCTAATATATTTAATTCTAAAAAGGAAACAAAATATAAAAAATATTGTTTATATAAACTTCTTTTCTAATACCGAACTTTTTTATGAAATTGGAATTGATATAATAAAAAAAATGATTACCATTCAACTAAAAATAATATTTGCCCATAAAAGGTAATAATCACGTTAAGGTGTAAATTTTTTAATCAATGCATTAAATTTACAGTTTCTTAATTTATATAATTTCCAATTAAGAAACAAACCATTTTAATCATACAAACCATTTTGTTAAGAAAATAAGCTTTCAATTTAATTATGTTTCCATTTAGAGATTCAGTGCCAAATATTTTATGAAGAAATTTAAATATATAAGTTTATGCATTTAAGGAAGGCACAATTAAAAAAATCAAAATAAAAAATAATAAAAGAAATTAAATATAAAAAATGTCAAAGTAATACATAGAAATGGTGGCACATATGTTAAGTGTTGAATATAGAAATAGTAAATAAATCATAAATTACTTTGTAGCAAGAATAAATTATGTATTACCGTGTAGAAAAAATAATAATACTAATATATCGTGCAATAATATTAATGTATTTAATCATTATTAATTTATTGTCATGAAAGAATAATAATAATAATAATATACTGTGTAATAATATTATCGTACTTAGTTATTATTATCGTGTAATAATTCTAACCAAATAAGCTTTCAATTAAATAATGTTTCCATTTAAAGATCCAGGCCCAAACGTTTTATGGAGAAATCGTTTTAAGAGGTGTGCCTTTAATACATGGAAACATATTGAATAATGTATACCTTTATATGTTGAACAATCAACCACTAATTGATAACTTACCCAGAAAAAATTAGATGCATGGAAATAGAAAAATACGATATTTTGAATGACTTACACTCTCTTGAGTTCTTAAATAAGATTCATGCTTTCGAAGTAGAAAATCATGAAGAAGTCTTTAAATAAATAAATTTTTAAAAGTTTGATATATAAAAATTATACGAGTAATGTAGTTTATAAAGAAGTCTTTCGTTATTTGTAAAGCAATTAACTTTTGTACCTTAAAATAATAAAATATTTATATTCTACTCCCTCCGTCCCGAAAGAAGTTTCCTTATTGACTTTTTGGAAAATTAAGGGAGGGATATTTTGGTGTTGAATTTCCAAAAATACCTTTGATGTGATTGATAAAAGTAAGATGTGATAGATAGATTATTAGTAAAAAAGTATGATGTGATAGTTAGGGTATGAAAAAGTAAGGAGCAAAAGTAGTTTTTTAATAGAAAAAGAAAGGAGTTTGTGGGATAAAGAAAAAATGAAAGGGGGAGATGTTTCAGAGACAGAGGGAGTATTAGATAAGAAATTGTATCCTTCAGAAATGATCTTAATTTAGTAATATAAGTATGACCCGTGCAACGCACGGGAGTGATGCTAGTTGTAATGTAATTGTTGCTGACATGTTTTTTCTTTGGGCACGATCCTGTTGACATCGGCTAATGGTGCCACTAGCGATGTCACTGCATTTTTGAAGCACCTCCGGTGCATCATTCGTAAAATTGATGGTTCCTACCCACCTAACCCGCCCCCCTAAAGCCCCCACCCCAATCCCACCCCTATCCCCACCCTAACTTCACCCTAAGACCCTCTCCAAATGTGTGGTAGCCACATGCATTGCATAATAGCCACACATTTGGAGGGGTAAAAGGGGGGGGTCTAGGGTGGGGTGCAGGGTCAGGCTGGGTTAGGGGGGCTAGATACCATCAATTTTGTGAACGGAGCACCGGAGGAGCTCCAAATGAGCGAGTGTCATCCGTTGACACTAGAAGCCGGTGTCAACGGAACCTTGCCTTTTTTCTTTTGATCATTTTGATTAGTCTTTTTTAACTAAACTTCTTGGTTTTCGAGCTACAAAAGTTTTCTTCACATTTTATCTTTTACGATCTCTAATACAATAATTTAAACATTAATATATATCTATATTTATAAATAAAAATATGATATTTCAAAATTATATTTTCAAAACAAATCTATTGATAATTAAATATATATCATAATACATTTTCTTTTTTCCCCATATATTAGGGCCTGTCTTATAAACATTAACCAAGAAAAGTCAAACAAGAAAAAAATTTGGGTTAAAACAATAATTTTTTTGTCTAAAAAATTTCATGTGTCACCTTAGTATTTCAGCCTTCAATGTTCAAACTCTCACCAGTAAGAGAGACCGGTTCTTTTGGCATTGGCCACCGGTGTCATATTATGACATAGGTCCATTTAGAAGCTTTATAGTATTCCGTTGTATGCCAAAGTGGTTGCTAGTCTTGGGTTGGGGGTGGGGGGAGAGGGGCATGTAGCCTTAGGGATTACTTTGGAGTCGAAAAGAGCACCATATGGTGCCCAAGTGGGTCAAGTGTCATAATATGACACCTTAACCCAATATCAAAATTATCTTTAACTTTCAAGTTTGTCAAAATTAACCCAGTGTCCTAATATGACACCCAAACCCTGTATTAAAATTAGGAAAAATTACCCAAAATAATCCCAACTTTACCCGGTCTTTCAAAAATAATCCCACCTTTCACTGTGATGCATAATAATCCCAACTTTATTGAAATTTGCCAGTTTTGGGTCGCCGTTAAGTTTCTAACGGAGGGTTAACGGAAATGCCCGTTTTAGGCAACAAAATGAAAGTTGGGATTATTTTTGATGAATTTTTGTTTTTGAATTTTTTTTGAAATTTTTATTTAAATTTTTTGAATTACTTTCAACCTCCATTTCTTTTTTAAAGATTATTCTTACCTTAGAAAAAAATAGATATAAAAAATAATGAAAATGAGAAAAATAACTAAAATCATACAAAATTAATCAAATAAATAATGTAATCAATAGAAATTAAACAGAAACTGATAAGAAATAAAATAAATATATACGGAGTGGTGGGTTTTAACATTTTACACACTATACGGAGTCTTAATATAATGTACTGCTTATTTTTTAAAAGAACAAGCCGTTCGGTAAAGTTGGAATTATTGTACATAATTTTTTCTAAAAAATAAGAAGTGATATGTTAATACTTTGTATAATGCGTAAAATATTAAAACCCACCCGTATATTTTTATTTTAATTTTACCAATTTCAAGTTAGTTTCCATTGATTACCTTATTTATTTTATTATTTTTGTATCATTTTAGTTACATTTCTCATTTTTTTCATTTTTTATATAATCTATTATTTTTATTTTTAAAACTAAGACTAATCTTCAAAAAAGGAAAAAGAAATGATGATGGAGGTAGAAAGTAATTTAAAAAATTTAAACGAAAAATTTTTAAAAAATAAAAAAAAAATGAAAATTCATCATTTTTATATCTATTATTTTTATTTTTTAAACTAAGACTAATCTTTAAAAAAGGAAAAAGAAATGATGATGGAGGTAGAAAGTAATTTAAAAAATTTAAATGAAAAATTTTAAAAAAATAAAAAAAAAATGAAAATTCATCAAAAATAATCCCAACTTTCATTTTGTTGCCTAAAACGGGCATTTCCGTTAACCCTCCGTTAGAAACTTAACGGCGACCCAAAACTGGAAAATTTCAGTAAAGTTGGGATTATTATGCATCACAGTGAAAGGTGGGATTATTTTTGAAAAATCGGGTAAAGTTGGGATTATTTTGGGTAATTTTTCTTTAAAATTACCTCTAACTTTAAATTTTGTCAAAAATTCAAAATTATCTCAGTGTCATAATATGACATCCAAATCTCGTATAAAACCTCTAACTTTTAATATTCTTTGCTAATACAAAACAACCTCTCCTCACTAAAAAGCTCTACAAAACATTTATCTACTGAAATGAGGTTTTTGTGAGGAATCTATGCTTGGAGGCTCATTTGAAAGAGAAAAAAAAAGCTTATTCCCTCCCATCAAGTCAGATTGTTTGGTTAAAAAATCTTCAACATAATAATATTTTTAATGCCACAGTAATTCTTCCCCATTCTAACACAAAACGCGTGTTTTAAAAAATGTGTTTAGTAAGTAATCTTGAACTACAAAATTCTAAATTTTCTCTCTGGGAACATATTACTTTGTTGCTGATGACAGATGTCTGTGCTGGAAGTTATCACCAAAGCGTCAACCGAGACAAACCGTCCTGAAGCTGACCTCAAATACCCAATCATCCTGAACCCTGGACCAGTTCTCTTAGAACTGAAGCCCCAAGACCATGATACAAAGAATGACTTGCCAGTTAAAGAAGCTAGTGGGTGGAATTTCTCCAAAATCGACACTGAAAGCATTGAGCTAGGGCAAAGATTCTTCAAAAAACTGAAAAGGAAGCTTAAAAACCCAACCGCATTCAACCAGGATGAATTTTTGAAGATTCTGAGTTCATATCTTTTGAATATTGCAGCGAAATTGGGCACTGCAAACAATATTACCATGTCTGATAAAGGTTATGTTGGTAAATTAGTTGGAAAATCAGGCCTTTTCATGGGCAGGGATGTGAAGGGGCTAGTTTTGGAGGCTTGTATTCTGCTAGAATGCTGGGAGGTTTTAGAGAGTTTGATTGTTAACGGGCTTGTGGAGCACTCTTACTTTTCAAGCTTAATAAGCAATTTGATTGAAAAGAATAGGTCAGACTTGATTGTTTTGTGCATGAAGCATCTTTCTGATCTCCAAGCTCTTGATATTATGCGCATTTTGAAGTACTTTATTTCACTCCCTCTAAATGGGCACGGTAATATTCTCAGTGTCAGGAAAGAATGGGAAAGCCAAGCATTGTTGGCCATACAAAAGTTGAAGGAGTATGATGGCCAAGCACTCTTGGCAAGTGAGAAGGTGAAGGATAAAATCCTTAGGAAGCGATTGACATTGGCAAGGGATGCTTCACTATTATTAATGATAGCGTATGATGGGTTTTCTGCAACAGAGTTGTGTTTGCATTATCTGCTATCGTCTCGGGACTATGATGAAGTGATATTGGCTGCTTGTTTCAGTGGTTTAAATGGCTCGGAGATTATGCGTTTGGTTAGGTACTTGGGAAAGTGGCTGAAGAAATATGAAAAGTTCCCTTATGTGAGTCCTTGTCCCGAGGCATCCTCTGCATTAGGTTTGACAGCTTGCGATTGGATTCCTAGGGTAGAAGATATTGTCATATACTTGATGAGCATTTTTCTACTCTGGTCCTCCATCCAGAGTTCCACGAGGAATTGAAGTCTATAAATGAAACTGTGAATTCGTTAGCTTCAGAAGCCAGATTTTGTGCTACGTTGTCAAGTTTAACTCGTGCTTTGAGATGAAATGCAAAGGTATGGGATTCCGTATGATATTATTTCATTAATTTGCATTTCTGATATTTTTTCGTAAGAAATCTGTTTACTGACATTAAATTGGGACTCTAAATAGATTTAGAAAGCGAAGGGATACTCTTAATTATGGGATTGAATCATTGTTGTCAAGTCGTCGCCTAGTCGACGACTAGTCGCCATAGTAATCAAGGCATCGCCTAGGCGACGCTTAGGCGTCTCAGCGAGGTATTGTGGACGCCCAATTGGTCGCCTAGCCATTTCTTCCCTGAGGCTTCAGTTTGGCGTCTGTTTGGCATCTTTTTGGCATCAATTTGAAATCTGAATCGCAAGGAAGATCAGAAATCCATAGGAATTGTCCGGATCTGCGATTTAGATCGTGAGGTCGTAATATCTATTGGATCACGATCGACGGAGATCCCTTAGGTTTTGTCCAGCGATCGTGAATTGTCCGGATTTACGCGACCCTTCGGTTTTGACGGAAATCCCTTAGATTTTGACTAACGACAGACTAGGCGACTCTTCTTCCCAGTAAAGTGTTTCATTTTTTTATTTTTTATTTTTTTGTGAGTGAAACATACGGACTATGTGTTCTGTGGAGTTTTTTTTAAGGAAATCTGCTTTATATTTTTTTAAAAGTAATATGTTATCTATTCTTGTTTTCTACAAAGTATGTACTAAGTAATGTATTTCATACCTATAAAATTAATTATTTCTTCGTATATGTTTTTACATCAGTATCAATAAAATTATTAAGGTCGCCATAGCCCACTCGCCTAGCGGACGCCTAGGCGGGCGCTTAATCGCCTAGGCGATTGAAAGGTACTCTAGCGCCCAGCCTTGCCTAGCCGCCAATACAGCTATGCTAGTCGCCGACTAGTTGTCAAGGCGTTTTCTGAATGGCGACTTGCACATCGACTAGCGACTAGGGTAGACTAGGCGAGTTAAGCGACACCTAGTCTATGAAGAAAACTTGCCCAATTTGCCCCAACCCGGCCCAAATTTCATTAAATTTTAAAAATTACTCGATAGAACACACACACAGCCTCCCTCGATCGGTTCAATCAACACATCGAAATCCAGTGAATCGACATTTAACCCTTCCCAAATTGCGACATCTCCTTCATTTACATCTTCCAGAGTTCCAACTTCCAACAGTTCCAGGATCAATTGTTTGGAATTGATTCCTATTCATCTTCCAGGATTCACACGCTCTCTATCCATGGGTAAGATCTCTCTATCTTTAATTATTTATCACTATACTCTTAATTTGTTTTAATTTTCTTTAATATGGTTCATTAAAATATTAAAGTATATTATACTCAAATTTTCAGTTTTCTTCAGTTTTATTAATTTTTCGGTGACTTTATGTGCTACCTTTAAACCTAATTTTGTTTTGGTAATGATAATTTGTCATATAAATATATATAGTTATCTTGGATGAATGAAGATATATGTAATGTCAAAAATTTCAATACTAATTGTGATTTGTCGACTAGTCTACGACTAGTAGGCCGACTAGTCTACGACTAGTAGGCCGACTAGTCCACTAGTCTCCCCTTCACCGACTCGACTCGACTTGTCGACTTAACAACCATGGATTGAATAAGGTGAATGTTTGACAATTACATTCGTTGTGCCACATGCCTATTCCTCAATTTATGGGCTCGTTAATTTATAGTGTTAAAGCATTATTTTTTAGTCATGCTAGGGGACACCATCTATGACACCACATATGACAGCCTGTATGACACCATTGTGTCTCGTAGACGCATAGACAATAATTGTTTGAACTATATGTGAAACACAGTGGTGTCATAGCTGGTGTCCCCCTAGCTTTTTCGATTGTTTATAGACACTTTGCTCTTTTCTACTTATTATTCTGAACTGAAATGTAGATCCACCAAAACTTAGTTCATATTTCCGATTCCTTTTATTCTCTTACTACTATGATGCTAATTTGGAAACCGGGGCCGAAGCAACCAAATTTGAGGATAAGGTGAGAAGAAAGTACTGCCCTCTTCAGGCTTATCGTATATTTTTGTAATCTGCATTTCAGGCACCCCTAAAGCTGTATCCTCTGTTTTCCATATACGATGGATGCCATTGCATATGGAAAAGGAATAATGACAAGTGAAGAAAAGAGTGAAAATGACACAAAATCCAGTGGGCAGAATGTGTCTTTACTTGAAACACAAATCAAAACTATTGGAGTTCCTAACATTATATTGTATGTCTATGTATCAGGGAAATTATTGGGGTGCTTTGCTGGAAGCCAGGATTTGCTTCTGTCTTATTTTTTTGGTAGGTTGAGGGTATGATAGGGAAGGTTTGTTTTTTATATAACATATATGACAGTTATTTCTTCAACCTAGAAATGTATATAGAATAGAATAGCATATCATCTTGTTGTGTGATCCTTTGATGAAACCATGTGCCTATCTGGTGGCATCTCAAGGCATCATTTTGATAATGTGTTTATTCTTTTTGTTTGGTTTTTTTATTACGGAGTATATAAAATTTATGAGGGGCGGAGGGAATACTAATTCAGAAAAATAATACATTCTGGAGCAAGAAATCATTTCATCACAGTCATTACTTGCCCTGAAAGGGCAAATGAATCATTTTGAATCTAACTAACAATTTTCATTCAAACATCGTAAATTAAAATAAGCAATTTAAATTGGGACGGAGAACATGTTAAAGAAGGAAACAATATATTCCCATATATGTTGTTATATAATGGTAGTTGCTTTGTATGATTCTGTTTTCTTTCGTATTTCTTTCTTTTTATACTAGTTGTTTTCATGTAGAGTTCTCAGGCTATTGGATCCTGTATGTACACAACCCTTATTCATATTATAATCATCAACAATACAAAAGAAATATTTTCTTCCAAATGTTATTCTTTCATAGCGTCACAAACAAAACACGACAATCAAATCGATTATACACAAAGTAGTATAAGATGTTGACAACCTATCATGATATATTCTCCTCTCAATAATAATAATCCCATTTGGAACACAAAGTAACAAGCAAGATAAATAATGGCAATTTATATTTTTTTTTAAAAAAAAAAGAAAGAAAAAGGGAAAAGGTAGCGTTAGATAGAATCCATAGGGAACTCGAGTATTCCGCATGACCAGCTCGGGGCACACCACAACATTCCCATCATCAAGAGCATGTGCATATGCCCCATAATACCATCCATCCATTTTTAGTCCCACCCACTGCACACACAATAAGCTACACATGCATCCATTCTTCATTTTACCCAAAGCCTCGCTCGACATGGCACAACTCCTCCACTCAAATCATCGCTCGGAATCTGAAAAAGCTTACTTAGCATTTATTACCTACAGTAGATTTACATGCACAAATGCTAGCTAGCTAATCTAATTAGGTTCCTCCCTAGCTAGCTAGCCTCAGCTCTAAGCCTAGTATGTAGCTAGCCTGTCCATTCAAACTAACGCCACTCCGAATCAATTCTTTTATTTAAAAGAAAACAGGGTTCTAGTGGCCAAGGTGGCCGGGTAAGTAATTCACCATAATCACCAGTGATGCTACCCGATGAGATTAAAGTGGACACCACCCGTGTTTTACGCACAAAAAATGATAGGGATCCACTAGTTGTTGTCAATTCTCATACGGAGTATATGGTAATCACATCTAATTTTATATATAGCTACACAGACTATAATCATATGTGTACACAGAAGATTATCATCTGTCTGTGGGACACCCATGTTGGGCTTCTAGCATTTTTGTTATTTTTTGGTGCAAACAAAATCAAGTAAATGATGTCAACTTTTGTTTGGTGTATTAGGAATAATAAATTTATTAGAAAATAGAATATTGTTATCCATTACCTTCCTTATTACATTACTTCCTTATTGTATTGTTACTATGATTTTTCTCCTAATTAGATTAGAGTTCTCTCATGTAATCATTATATATAAGGATGTATCCTTCATTATTCAATAAGATCAATTATTATCAGATTGATCATTGTGTCAGAGCTAAGGTTTTCAAAAATCTAGCCCTTCCAGCTTTTTCAATCGAGCACATCGTCAATCTTTGTCCACGGCGGTCGATCGTCTGACAACATGACGTCACTAACCGATCTCGACGAGCTTGCATTACAGCCGCCATCCATTATCCCTCTCTTTCTCTTAAAAAATCTATTATCTTTCTCTCTCTCTCTCTCCAAAAAATATCATGTGCTTGATCAAAAAACAGGAAAGTTGTATTTGTCCGTGTTTTTTCTAGAGATCAAGAGCATGGAAAGAGATAGAGAAGCAGAGAACGACCCAAAAGGAGAACAAAAATTTCTCGTCCTCGCTCCAATAACCAACACTCTCACCAGAAAAAAACTCATCAGCAAATGCAATCTCAAACTTGTTCGTCATGCAATCTCGAAATTTCCAGTACCTGTGCTTCAAGCTGCTCTTCGTTACCGATGATCAGCTTGCGAGGATATTAGGAATAATAGATGTATTAGGAAATAGAATATTGTTATTCAGTATCTTCTTTGTTACATTACTTCCTTATTGTATTGTTACTATAATTTTTTCTCTTACTTAGATTAGAATTCCCTCTTGTAATTCCTATATATAAGGATGTATCCTTTATTTTTCGATAAGATCAATTATTATCAAATTTTATTAGTTTCAAACATTTTTGTTAGATCACAATATCTAAATACTCCTTAGCTTCAATTCTATTGTGATGACATCTTTAGACACTTTTTATCATGTTCAATTGATACTCTCTCCGTCCATTTTTATCTTCCTATTTTAAACAATATGTAAAATTTGGCACTAAAGATATGCAAAAAATTTAGGCCTAGAACGATATGTTTGAACTTTTGGTTGGTTCAATTATTGATTCCTTGACATGTTTCTATGGTTGAATACTCTTACTTGTATCTTTGTAACATATTCTTAAAATTTCGGTGGGCCAAGAACAACCAACAGCGTATCGAATAAAATTAACCACATGCATAAAAATTCGTGATTTATTTTGTAACTATAAATCTTAAGCAGATATATAGGGTTTCACTCTTCTATATATATGCTAGTAGTATTCCATTACTTTTTCCGATGTAGAAACTCCAACACTCCCCTCAAGTGATAACTAGCCTGTCTAATTCGCATTGGATAAATAGGTCTGTCATCTCAATTTTTATAACCAACTTAACACAAACCACAAATGAGTAGCTCATATAGCTAAATCCACATCTAAACAACTACGAAGAATTAAACCTTGACAGTACGTGCTCTGATACCATGTTAAATATTTGGGTGGGCCAAGACCAATATGTCGACTGCCTAATAAAATTAACCACTTACTTATAAAGTCAGATCCACTTTAATTTTTAACCCAAAAAATTAACGTCTTACATTTATACCCGCACTCCAACCAATACATTACATAAGCTAGCTTGTGGTGGGAAGGAAGGAAAGGTGGAATACCGTAGCTTGTTGTGTAAAAATGGATGCAAGCCCGGGGAAATACACAGAAATGGAGAGTAGTGTTACTAAAGGCGAAACCGAAATGCCAAAAGACACCTCCAGGGTTGCATACATAATCCACTTCCTGCTAGGTGCAGGGAGCCTTCTGCCGTGGAACGCCGTGATCACGGCAGTCGACTACTTCGGGTACTGCTACCCGGCCTCCCTCCACGTCGAGAAGGTCTTCTCCGTGGGGTACATGGCCTCTTCTCTGGCAACCTTGGTGGCCATGTTAGTGGGGTTTGGGACAAGCCACGCCGGTCTGGCGCAGAGGTTTAGGGTCAGAACGAACATGGGATTCTCCATGTTCGTTCTGTCCCTCATGCTGACTCCAGCCATGGACTGGTGGCTGCAGGAGAAGAAGGGGCCCAGTGCTGGGAAATGCGCCACGCCGTACCCTGCGGCGGTTGCCGCGGTGGTGGTCTGCGGTTTGGGGGACGGTCTGGTCGGAGGAGCGCTGTTTGGGTCTGCTGGGAAGCTGCCCAAGGAGTACATGCAAGCCATCTTTGCCGGGACGGCCTCTTCAGGTTAATTTATTAGTGTCACTTAATTATTAGTTTCATCCAATTTCATTACTGGTAATTAACTTAACTTAATTAATTGGTTCATCATTTAATACCGAGTATATTTTATTTTATTTAATATACTTGCGCTGTTCGAAAATATTTCGAGTATTTCCAAACAAGCCACTAAAGAAAAGTGATTGGTGACGATATAAATGTATGGAGTATATTAAAAGTGTATTCATGGGGTTGAATAATCATATGAGTTGATCAATCAATACGCTAGTTGGCAATCTATTCCTTAACTTTCCTAATCCTTAGATATTCAGTGTCTTTTCCTAAATTGTATGGTAATCATAGTATTCATTCAAACTTTATAGTACTAATCACGAAAAAAGCATTCTTAAAAGAATAATGAAGATAAAATTAGGGGGAACTTTTTTGAGAAATTTATCCAAATAGAATTAAAACATAATATAGGATTGTATGTTTTTATTTTTCAACGTAGGTACTTTGGTCATTATCTATTAGTCATAATTAAACTAAATGTCCATCATTTCTAGACATTATTCCTTCCACTAGCCATTATTAAATCCTATTTAGAAAATAAAAAGTTTTAAGTCCTACATTGGAAAGTTACTTATATTTTAGTTCTATTTAGTGCAAATTTCACAACTTTTTAATATGAGTAAATGAGTATGAATACACTCATACTTCAATATTATACTAAACTAGTATTTAACCCGTGCAACGCACGGGGTCGAACGCATGTTGTTTTTAACTCTGTTAAATTTTTTTTAGTAAATGATTAAAAAATATAGCTAAATATAATATACAATGTTAGAAGTTTAATGAATGATATGACATAAACAGAGTATGCTAACTAAAATTCATATATATAAATGTATTAATTACATCCAAATTTTTTGGAAAACCTCAGGATAAACCACATTTTTGGTGCAATTGCAAGGATAAAACTAACATTTTAAATCTTTTTTAGTTTCCACTCGTGGAACTCCAACATAAAATTGACTAAGTATTTGTCCAGTTTTGATATTTTCAGACATTTCAGTCAATCATTTTTAACCATTTTCAATATTTGACCTATAACTAAGTGAAATATATATTGTATATTAATTAGATAAAATAATATATATTGTAGGACCTTTGGTCATTATCTATTAGTCATAATTAAACTAAATGTCCATCATTTCTGGACATTATTCCTTCCACTAGCCATTATTAAATCCTATTTAGAAAATAAAAAGTTTTAAGTCCTACATTGGAAAGTTACTTATATTTAGTCCTATTTAGTGCAAATTTCACAACTTTTTAATATGAGTAAATGAGTATGAATACACTCATACTTCAATATTATACTAAATTGTTAAGATTTACTCTTATGTAAGGAATTTTTTTTAAAATACCCCTCTCGTCTCAAAATTAAATGTATAGTTAAATTTTTTTTATAAATTGATACACAATCTAAACACTAATTGTCAAAAAAACATTAATTGTAACATAAATTTAATATTATTAGGTTAATTTAAAGAAGTAATTTTGATATATAAAATTTTACTTACATTTGTTTATTTAAAACTATATTTTATTGTTAATGATAAAAGTATGTACTTCCTTTATTCCAAAATTGAATGTTCTTCTCGTTTCCATTTACAGGATTTGACTGATTTTTTTAAATTCAATTTATTTGATTGTATTGATCCAAAAAAAAATTAAAGTTTATATATTTAAAAACTACATTAAAACTTCTACAAAATAAGAAGTGACAAGACTACATTAAAAGTTCAAATAATTAATAAAAATAGGTATATTAGAAAAGTAATTAAAATTTGATCGTGTTACTAACTGGAAAGAACATTTTAAGATGGAAGAATTATCAATTCGACCTCAAACGTCAAAATATGGTTTTCGTTTGGGACAAAGTTAGTACGTACGGAGTATTAAACATTTCTTTGTGCATGAGTAAAGGAAGAACAACTACGTACTATTCTTGGAGAAACTAAATTAATTACAAACATGCTATAAATCCATGCATCATGCTTGATACGTACCAAGAATTTGATATCAAAACTTTATAAGATTGTGTACTATGATTCATTTATGCAATCTAAATTTTGTTTGGCCTTGTGGAAATAAATTACCAACAGGGGTTTTCATATCCACATTGAGACTCATCACAAAAGCATCCCTCCCGCAGACGCCAGAGGGCCTAAAAACCAGCGCACACCTCTACTTCATCGTCAGCACCGCAATTCTCCTCCTCTGCATTGCCTCTTCCAACCTCCTCTACAAGCTGCCCGTGATGAACCACCACCACGGGCCCGCCCCTGCAGGCGGCGATAAGACTCAGAGATTCTGGGTGGTGGCACGGGCGGTCAGATGGCCCGCCTTTGGGGTCTTCATGATTTACACTGTCACCTTGTCCATCTTCCCGGGTTTCCTGGCCGAGAACATCCGGTCCGGCACCCTAAAGGATTGGTACCCTATCCTGCTCATCACTCTCTACAACGTTTCGGATTTCTTGGGGAAGTCCGCGACCGGAGTCTATGTGGTGAAGAGCATTGGGAAGGCCACATGGGGCTGTGTGGGCAGGATTCTGTTGTACCCTTTCTTCAGCCTCTGCCTCCACGGCCCCAGGTGGTTGAAAACCGAAACGCCCATTATATTTCTTACCGTGACTTTGGGAATAACCAACGGGTACTTGACCAGCGTTCTCATGATCCTTTCCCCGAAAACGGTCCCGGTCTCCGAATCGGAGACCGCTGCCATTGTCATGGCTGTTTTTCTTGGATTGGGTTTGGTTTCGGGCTCGGTTCTCGGATGGGTTTGGATCATATGAACTCGGAATGGTTGTTTGTTTGGGTAATGTGCGTGAAACCGGCCGTAGGGTCAATTCAAAGTTTGTGCACCGGACCAAAACCAATGGGAAGGGCGGCATGATAAATTTGATCTTTCTTCTTCTGAATGTAGAATTAGAATGCAGGTGATATGTAGCTGTTTGAGAAGCAGAGATCCTAATGTGTTGAATCATTTATTGCAAATCCAAAACTTGGGTATCAATATAATGTTTTTTTTCCCCTTCAAACAAAAATGTGAGTCAGATAGTGCACTTATTAAAAAATCAAAGGGAATTTATAATAAATAGCATTAAAACATAATGAATTTCACTAAGTAGCATCATATATGTTTTTCTCAATGTACTCCCTCCGTCCTATAATGATCTTTCCAGAGCACTATTCCAACTTTACGGGAATTTATATTTATTTGTGTTTTTTCATGGCCTATATGATAAAATAAAATATTCTTGTCACCACTTGTTTTGTTGAACTTTTGGTGTAGTTTTTAAATATGTATGTTTTATTTTTTATTTCTATACCAATATTTAAATAAAATACATTGAAAAAACTTGGGATTTTTCTTCATTTTTCGAACCGGGAAGATCATTATAGGACGGAGGGAGTAGCACTTTTAGTCATTATCCATTAGAGAAATTTACCTAAATAGGACTAAAACATAATGACTTTCCCAATATAGGACCATATATTTTTATTTTCCAATGTAAGACCTTTGGTCATTATCAAGTAGTCATTATTCAACTAAATGTCCATCATTGCTGAATATAATTTCTTCCACTAAGTCATTATTAAGTCCTATTTAGAGAATAAAAAAGTTTAAGTCCTATATTAGGAAAGTCATTATGTTTTAGTCCTATTTAGTGCAAATTTTACTATCCATCCATTAATCATTATTTAAGTAAATGTTTGCCATCATCGAACATTATTCCTCCCTCTGGATATTTTTATTATTTAGAGAATAAAATAATTTGAGTGCTATTTAGAGAAATGATTTAAGTTTGAGTGCTATTTAGTACAAATATTTCAAAATGAAATCTATCTTGGCAGGATTAAAAATATGCTTTTATCTTTAAAATATGATGTAAATTAGTTTTAAACTTAAAAAAGTAATCAGTTTTTTAAATTAAAAAATCAGGTCGTCTGTTTGCTTCAAGCTAGACAAATGATACAGAGTACGTGATGTGTGTATACTGCGACACATTTTCTTTTTTAGTCCAAAAGGTCCTTGGGTTCATTTCATGAAACAAAAATCAATGAAACATATTTTCTTTTATTACATTGAAGCTTATTTTTCATTTTTTGTTCATTTTGTTCATTTTTATTTTTTGTTTATCTTTATAATTTTTTAAAACTAATTTTATAATGTTTCTTTAATTTAATCAAAATTTAAAGTAAAAGAAAAAAATAAAAAGGAAAATGAAGGAAAAGAAAAGTAAATGAAAAAATACTTTTATAGAAAAGGCAATATTAAGTCATGAAGAAAGTCTGACAAGCATTGGTCTAACAATGTTATGGATATATAATTAACTAATTAAATATTAAAAATACTTTACTCTGTATTCTTTTAGTCCCAACTGATAAAAAAGTAATTTTTCTTAGAAAAAATAAAAATATTTAATTTGAGACAAATGATGTATATGTTACTCCCATTTGATTTTTCACGGTATCCAATGCGACACTTTGACCATCAATATCTCAATTTTTATATAAATATACTCCGTATTTTATAAAAATTATATATTTCAAAACTATATTTCAAAATGAATCCATTCCTAATAAATTTATATGAAAATTCAATGTATTTTTTCTTTAATCTACTGTCAAAGTTTAAAAAGTTTGACTGCAAAAGTCAAACTGGAAAATTAATTTTAGGACGGAGGTACTTTCTTTTTAATTTTTTATTTCAAAGACAAAAATTTTTTATTTTTTTAAACGTTTAAAAACATATTTTTAAAAATTACTTACATGCATTGGTTTATGGATAAAAGAGAATAAAAAAAGAAAAACAATAAAATAAGGAGAGGGCATCGCGTTGGTACCCATTTTCAAAACTAGGGCACTGGAACTATTTATATAAGATTTGAAAGATACTTTAGTCTAGAGGGCATTCACATAGGAATATCAAACCACAATGGGCAAGATTAGACCTGTGCAAAAAAGGGTCGGCCCGTCTGGCCCGCCTAGCCCGCCCTTTAAAAAGGGCAGATATGGACAACCTTTAATACCCACATGAGCGGGTCGACTCGAGCCTGAAGTGTATATGGGTGGATCTGGAAGTTACTTTTAGCCCATCCGGGCCAACAGACCCGCCCATATTCATAAAAAATATTCACTTTATTATTAATTATCTATCCAATATAATTTTGAAAAATAGTTATAGTTCATGTATAATGGTTCAATTCACTCACCTCTCTTAAACAAAAATCAATATTCTTTTAATGAATTAGTATGATGAGTTCATTAATTATGCAACACTGCATCTGTTATGCTTTCTATGTAAATTTGGTAAGTGGTGATTTTATTTTAAACGTTGAAAAGAGTTCAATGTTTTATTGGATTTTTTGTGCAAAAAAAGTTTTCTTGATCTTTTATCTAGGCCGGGCGGCCCGGTGGGTAGTTCGGCCCGCTAAGGTGAGCGAGTATGGGTAAAGAGTTTAGCCCATCAAATTTGGCCGGGCTAGACCCGCCCATTTAAATGGACTAATAATTTGTATCCAGCCCGACTCAGATCCTTATTTGCACAGGTCTAGGAAAGATGTAAGTTTTTAAATCATGAGGGACAATGATGCATATTTACCAAACCAGAAAAGATATTAGTGCAATAAACACTATAAAATGGCCTGGCGAATTAGATAGCAGCTCATGAAAACTACTCTCTCCGTTCTCAAAAACACTTCCTCCTTCAATTTTTTCACTTCCAACAAAACACTTCCACTTTCTATTAAAAACCCACTTTTTCCCTTACTTTTTCATACCCTACCGATCATATCATACCTTTTCTCTAATAATCTATCCATCACATCAGGGACAAAATTAGAAATCAACTATAATTTAACACTTTCTTATTTTTGTCCCAAATCAAAATGGGAAGTCTTTTTACAAACGAAGGGAGTAGATAGGTAATTGTCTCTCTTTTTCATACTCCACCCATGTTACAAAACAATTACTCCCTCCGTCCAATAAAGTGTTACCTATTTTGACTAAAGTATAAATTAAGGGAGGGATAATTTTGTATTGACTTTCCAAAAATACCCTTGATGTGATGGGTAAAAGTAGGATGTGATGTGTAGATTATTAGGAAAAAGGTATGATGTGATAGGTAGGGTTTAAAAAAGTAATGGGTAAAAGTGGTTTTTTAATAGAAATGGGTATGAGATTGTGGGACACAATTTGACTAAAGTAGAAATTACTCCCTCCGTCCCATAAAGTGTTACTCATTTTGACTAAAGTAGAAATTAAGGGAGGGATAATTTTGTGTTGACTTTCCAAAAATACCCTTGATGTGATGGGTAAAAGTAGGATGTGATGTGTAGATTATTAGGAAAAAGGTATGATGTGATAGGTAGGGTTTAAAAAAGTAAGGGGTAAAAGTGGTTTTTTAATAGAAATGGGTAGGAGATTGTGGGACACAATTTTATTGAAAGATGTAAATCTTTTTAGGACGGAGGGAGTATATTCTAACTTCTTCAAAAAAAATATTCTAACTTCACTTTTCACTTTTTTTGTAAAACACTTCTACCATACATTAAAAAGTTGATTTTAGTATTACTGACCTGTAAAAATTGTAAAATAATATAGAATACTTTTTGCTTGACTAATTTGGAGGAATACAAAGTAATGAATATATAGGTGAAGTTGGAGCATTCTAGAATTTTCCACATTAATGGCTAGATAAATAAAGAAATATTACACTCCGTATAATAATAACTCTAACTATAATAGGTAACAACCACAATTATAATATATAATATTAAATATATTAAAATAATTAATTTTTTAACATGCTAACAAGGTTCTAGTAAGTGAAGATTGAACATCAAGTTTTACTTGAATCATGACCAGAATCGTAATCAGAAGCTAGATGCATATCTTCGGCTAGAGTAGACTGAATGCATCCGGCCCATGTTCTAAAGTGTATACCAACATAAATATACTTTTTGGCAGTGTGGATACATGTTATATTGGGTATGACGGCAATGTGTTATGTCTATGTTCTAGAAGTGTATATCAACTTAAACATACTTTTTGGCAGTGTGTAATGCAAGGATAAATTTGGAATTGTATCCACACGAGTTCCAATATCTTATAGCAGTGCTATATTGAGAATTTTAAGCATATATTAATGTTATGACGGTACTTCTCCCATATTTAACGCTATCCAGGTCATTGAGTACTGCCAAACAATATTACGATACATACAATTAGGAAAATGTTAGGGGTACACCTTTTGGTATACCCCAGATGTCCCCCACCTCCTCCTTGTCTCCAAAAATAGGCAAGAAAATTCAAAAAAATAAGTAAATAAAAATTAAATAAAAAAGAATGATTATGGAGGGGGTGAGACCCATTTGGAGTACACTTTGGTGTATCCCTAGCATCTCCCATACAATTAACTTAGTCTAAACATTACCACATCACCATAATCTATCTAAGGCTGAAAGTATTTGTTCCTACACCTGCACTTCCACGAGAGGAGATAGTAGTTCTCATCTTCCCCGGGGCCGCCGCCACCACTTGCAGCAGTCCTTCTAAACCACCACCGCGGCTGCCGCCTCTTGTGGTGCGGCGGAATGACTAATGCCGCCACGCAAGGCCTGCACCCCATGCACCTCCCCACACACCTTGGTGGCCTTGACCCCAATGCCATTCTCATCATCATCTGTTTTCCTCTTCCTGCATGTACGTATATACACCAATGGAAGACCAAACAAAAACACTCCTCACAATTGTCTATACATACATTTACCTGAAATGGAAGGGAGCAGAGCCATTGAATAGAAGAGAATGACAATGAGAGCAAGTTTGAGCACACTCCGGAAGACATTGGAAGCCATTATAATAACAAGCTAGCTAATTTGAGATGAATTAGTCACCCTTAATTATATTGTCTCTGCTTTATTACGTTACAAAATTAAATGAGAGTAGGTATGTGGGTTGGGAAGAGGAATTTATGGAATGAAGAATTGTTTTGATATCCTCCTATATAGTACTCGTATGTTGTATGAGTAGATTGAATTGTCAAGTGTGGTAGGGCCATGACATAGTTCGTCTCGTCTAGTCAAAGGGGTCAAAACTCAAAAAAAGATTGAAAGAATGATAGAACAACGATTTTACTCACTATTATTTTGCTCCCACTTCCCCTTTTGAGGGCATCCCCAATATGAATAAAGCTGGAGGTGCACCAAAACAGTGGGTGTACCTCATTTGTACATCAAACAAATACACACATTAAGTGTCTATGATCAAAGACACTAATTTCTGTGATCATAAAGATTTAGTGATTGTATTTGCCTGATATACAAATGAAGTACACCATTTTGTACCCCTATTACTAGCATTGCCGCTCCAATATATAGGACTCTATCTCTAAAGAGAGTTTGAGGAGGAGTATTAAGACTCTTTTCCTCGGAGTTCATCCTTTATTCAACATCGACACACTGCTATGCAATGTTTAAAAGATTCGTATGTAGTACTCCCTCTGTCCCATAAAGTTCTTCACGTTTCAAAAAAATCATGTTCCTAAAAGTACTTTCTATTTCTATTATAAAATCACTTTTACTCTTTACTTTTTCATACCTTACCTATCACATAATACCTTTTTCCTAATAATCTACACATCACATCTTATTTTACTCATCACATCAAGGATGTTTTTGGAAATTCAATACAAAATTATCTTTTCTTATTTTACCACTTTAGTCAAACCGTCTCTCTCTATGAAACGGAGGGTTGTAAAATACGGAGATAAAATAAACTTTATGAATTGTCTAAAAACACTTTCATATTAAAATTATTTTGGTGGTATACCAAAATGTTTCCATTGGATATGATGTAAGTGCTTTAGATAGAATATGAGTCTAACACTTCAAAACACACCTTAAAAGTATTATTGAATTATTATTCAATTAAATAAATTTATTTTAATTAAAATAAAATATTGTTGGGCCTTGGGCTGAAATAAAATGTATTTTGATATCCAATATCATAAACTAGATAAATCTCGTGGATATAAATCCAAAATGCAAATTGTATGTGTGATTGTGATTATAATGACCATTGTTATTGTTATTACTACCTCCGTCCCGCTATATTCGTCCACTTTTGACTTTTGAAACTGTTCATCTAAGCATTTTGACTCATCAAATTCTCTCAATGTGTAAGTCTAAATATAGTCATGTGTAATCTTGTTTGATTTGTCTTAACATATAGATTATTAATATATAATTTCTATAATTTTTTAATATACAAATTACAAAATAAAATGGATTAAAGAAGTGCAAAAATGAAAGTGGACAAATACTCTGGGACGGAGGGAGTATTATATACCCCTACCCTATCAGAAAAATGATGGCAATGAAATGTCGAGTCGAATTGGATCCTTTCCGTGATTGGTGTTTTCTTTTTGTTTGAGAGTACAAGGACGTGACAGTTGACTAAAGGGAGTAATAATAAAGGGATTCATATTTATTTTTGTACGAACATTTGTTAATTATACACTTTTCATATTACTATTGGCTCTATACCATAGAAAGGGAGCTAACAAAATATTGCAGAGCTGCATTTGGCTTTTCCAAAGCAAACAGTTATTTAGAATAGTTGTTAGTTTTGTCCATTCACTTTCACAGACTACACATTTTCTGCATAGAGATCGAAGCTGATGAACTGTTAAAAAGAAAGAAAAAGCATCCTATTCTTTCTTATCAGTGCCCTGAATTTCCTTGTTGCATACATTTGTTTGTTTCATTGGTGCATTTGATACTTTTTCACCTTCGGAAATCACTGAGGTTGTTTTTTTAACTTTCCACCAACTTTGTTCAAAATTAAGGGGTGTATTGTATTGGATAGTGAACCAAAACGATTAAGTTATTTGTTCCCCAAGACTTCTACCTCAATTTCTACACCGCAGATATGCACTTTCATTTTGTATCTGTGTAATGCTAGGGTGATAATTTACACATACACAAAATGTTAGTGCAAATTTTTGATAACGCACCATCATTTTGTGTCAGTGTAAACCATGAAAATGTTAATATATACTACCTTCGTCCCAGAGTATTTGTCCACTTTCATTTTTACACACCATCAAATACACTTCTTTAATCCATTTTATCTTGTAATTTGTATATTAAAAAATTATAGAAATTATATATTAATAATCTATATGTTAAGACAAATCAAAAAAGATCACACATGACTATATTTAGGCTTACACATTGAGAGAATTTGATGAGTCAAAGTGCTTAGATGAACAGTTCCATAAGTCAAAACTGGACGAATACTGCGGGACGGAGGGAGTAACTTCAATGTAACTTTGGGGTACAGTTTTTGGTGTAAGTGTAGCATGATTGGAGCCAAAAAATAATTTCAAAGAATTTCATAAGTATGGATTCTCAGGGTGATTAGTATTTTTTTTAGTATAAAAATCAATCTACAAATCTCTTCGATCTCAATAATGAGGGTAAATTTCAGTAATGGTACCTGAACTTTCACTGGAATTTCGAAGTGGTACCTAAACTTTAAATCTTTTCACAAAAATATATGAACTTACATAATCCTTTCACTAAAAGTCGATTTACGCGTTTTTAAGTTAACTTTCGGTCATTTGGGCTAAATTAGAATTTTATATATTTTAAAATTTTCAATTTGACCCCATTTCTTTTTTCTTCCTCTTCCCCCTCCCACTCTTTTTTTTTTCTTCTTTCACCCCCTTTCTTGACCAGACCCACGTCAAGAAAATCACCCATTTCAACTTTTCCGTACATAAGAAGAAAAAAAATAGAATCAATAATCAATTAAAAGACTAAAACATGTACCATGGCCGGTCTAATAGGGGGACAAACAATCCGTCACACCCGGGCCCATCATTTTTAGAGCCTTTTTAGTATTATATGTATGTATATAATAGGCCGAGCCTAATAACTCAAAGCCCTCCTTGGCCCCTTCTTACTTCCAGAATCGGCAAAAATCACAAAGTCACGCGAGAAATCGGAGCGGCCAGTAGCGAAATCGAAAGAGAGTGAGAGCCGACCGCCAAGATTCAGAGAACGCCGCCGCTGCTCCGCACCCGCCGGACGCCAGGATTCATGTGGATTGGAACCAATGTGGTGCATGTGCAACCTTTTGAAATGATGGATGTTTTTTAAATAAGTTTTGAAGACAAGATGAGGCATTCATATCTATTTTTCAAATCACTGAGAGCACTGGAACTATTTTAATTTTTAATATATTCTATTCAAAAAAGTTTGTTGTCATTTAATATTTATTAGTCATTTGATATTTGAAACTAATAAATGAATATCGAGATTATATATTTTTTCAATTATGTATTTTTACTATAATATATTTTCTCTATGAAAATTTATGTTCCAATGAAGAAAAATAAATGCTCAAAAAGTCCTACTAATAAAGAAAATAAAAAATTTTAAAATTTATATTTCCTTTAAGAAAATACTCTCATTAAAAAAGGTTTTATCTTTTACGGGCACTCCTTATTTCATAAATAAACACAATTAAAGCTTATCGGTACCGTGATGTGAATATACATAATATCTCATAACAAAATTTAAATCTTGATATATTTTTATATATTCCCTATTATCATTGTCATTTTTATGAAAAAAAGATGTGTACTAATAATTATTAATTTCTTTTATATGATTAATTTATTTAATTTTTTCTGAAAAATTATAATATTTATTTCATTTACATAATTTTCAATATATTCAAAAGTCCATATTTTTTAATATAAAATATATTGTTTTAAACTCATCATATGTTAAAAGTTATCATAAATAATTTTCCATAAATGATAAATGAGCACTAAAGCATTCCATGTAATTTATTTATGTGCCATGTCATTTGACATTTTATGGGCCTTAAGCCAATTAAAAAAATTTGACTTCTCTTACAATTATTTTTAAAGAGTAATGCTAGAGTCACAAACAAACAATTCACAAAATTCACAAACTTGCATTTTTTAACATTTTCCTAGAAATAAGATGACTCAAATAATAAAAATATTTTAATTTAAAATCCATAAAAGACAAATTTGTGAAGTTTGTGAATTATTTGTTTGTGACTCTAGAATTTTCTATTTTTAAAAAAGAACAATATCACTTAATGAATTGAAATGGTTGAGTGTGACATATTATTATTAACTACATATATTTACTTAGAATTGAAAGCTTAAAACCCTAAACTGATTATTTTTTACAATAATAAATTACTTTTACTATTAGAGAAAAACTAGTTACGGGCCCCCTTATAAAATGGGCCCTAGGCAGCAGCCCCTATGCCTACCCTAGGGCCGGCCCTGTTTGCTATGTAATATGACAGATGTCAACTTCTTAGAAACATGAGTCTTAGATATTATAGTACTAGTATTTTGACCCGTGCCACGAACGAGACTAAATAAATTTTTTTGTCGATTCTAAAAAAAATTTTAATGCAATATTTTTGCTGGAATAAAGAAAATATACTTCTCGCATAATTTTTAATACCATAGAAAAAAATTAAAGTGGAATAAATAATATTTGATGAATTGAATATGTACACAACAAAAAAGTTAATGCTAAATTTTCTTTCCGAGCAATGCTAGGTTCACAAACAGGATGCTCACAAACTTCACAAACTTAATATTTATGGTTTAAATATTCATTTTAAAACTATTTTAGACTATTTAATTTTTTTATTAAATTTCACAAATAGTAAGTTTGTGAAGTTTGTGACTATTGTGTTTGAGCCTATGTCACTGCGCCCGTGCAAGCTTGCATGAAGCCCCGGTTGATTTGATATTGTGGAGGGATTCTACACAAGTCTCTCGGTGTCTAATTCTTGGCAACAAATTTTGTATGCAGGAATTCCTTTATGGTATGTTTGGGAACATGGATTTGGATTTCAAATCCGGATTTGGCTTAAATTCCATGTTTGGGAAACTTAAGCATTTTGAATTTGGATTTGAATCAAATTCTTTATATTCAAAACCAAGCTTAATTTGAAATCCATGCACCTCTCCTTGTCATTTGAAATTCAGGATTTTAAATTTTGGAATTAAAATACATGAATTGAAATGAAATGCTAGTTGCCAAACACTACCTTAGGTAGTGTTTGGCAACTACGATTTCATTTCAATTCATGTATTTCAATTCCAAAATTTGAAATCTTGAATTTCAAATGACAAGGGGAGGCGCATGGATTTAAAATTATGCTTTGTTATGAATGAGAAGAATTTGATTCAAATCCAAATTCAAAATTTGTAAGTTTCCCAAATATGGAATTTGAGCCAAATCCAGATTTGAAATCCAAATCCATGTTCCAAACATACCATTAGTTTTTTAACGCCAATCTCTGCAATTCAGCTTCAAATCCGGCAATCTGGGTATCTAAATCCACTTTTGGCCTGTTGGGAAATATCCCTCCTACATGGAGGAAGTGTCAATTTTAATTGGAGAACACTTTAAATCTCTCTTTTATATTTGAGCTTATTTTTGTGTGTGTAAAGTTTTAGCCCAATTGTATTTTTTTATGGTGGCCCATTTACTTTATGTGGCTACTAAATACCGGAGTAATAAAAAAAAGGAGAGGGAAAGATAAGGGAGCAAAAGAAGAGGAGAAGAGGCAGTGGCTGTAGCTAAACGTAGGAAAAAGAAGGAGAAAAAGCCACTTTTCAGATCGTGCTCAAATTTTAGTATGTTGTTCCTCACATACTTCTCTTCAAATCCAACGATCAGTTTCTCGTTTTGATGCCGGGAAGGTGGTTTTCTTGCTGCGTTTTCAGACCTGCGTTTTTGGGAGTTTTTACTCCATTTTTGGTGAATTGTTGATTGTTGTTGTGCCAAGGTTGTTCCTTGATGATTGTGTGTGCCTCTAGTGTTTACTAGAGAGGAGAACTTGTTGTACCCACTTGATTCTTGGTGATTAGTGGAAGTTTGGGAGCCGTTGTTGAGCGGTCGTGGTTTTCTTCCCGATTTGGGGTTTCCACGTAAATCGCGTGTCCTCTAGTTTATTACCGCTTCCATTTATTTGTGTGTGTGCTGCTGATTTTTCAGAGTTCATGCTTGTTATTCATCTCATTTATTTGGGGAAAAGATTTTATTCGCTTCCGTTGTGTTTTGTCCGTGCTTCCCCAACATGGCCTCCATGGATCTTTATTCAATTTTGAGGTTTCATCTTTCTTTCAGGATGTGATTATATACTATGTGCACCTGAGGTTTCATTCAAATCATTTGTGTGGCTGGTTGGGGCCGTTGGGCGGATGGATTTCTTGGGAGAAACAACGGCTGGGTATGATAATTGTGGCAGCCTTCCTGGAATGAATGACCATGCTCTTTGGGCTACTGATCGAGGATGATTATAGAGCCTGGAATGAAGGTGGCGGGTATGAGCGCCCCCGAACAAGAAAATCTGTGCCTCACAGGGCTTAGAGTCTCAAGTCGTAGTCCCAATTAGATCCAAAGCCACTGGGAAGATGTTCTTCAAGACCAAACTGTGTTACAAGTTCTGTGCGGGGGTCTGCCCCTATATCACCAACTGCAACTTTGCTCATGGGCTTGAAGAGCTTCGCAAGCCGCCTCCTAATTGGCAGGAGATAGTCACTTTAGTCACTGCTCATGAGGGAGGGGTGGGATTTGAAAACTACAGAGTGGAACACCAGATTCCAATAATGACTTCCCCTGAATTGCGAGCCGACTTTCAGAGGTCTCATAAAGGAAGGCACTGTAAGAAGTTCTATACCGAAGAGGGTTAGCTGCACCTATATTCATGATGAACATGCGCGGTCCAGGGAGAGTGTTGCCATTAGTGTGATTCCCACCATGGGCGATTTCGATAAGAATAGCTCAACAGCGATGTACCAAAAGCCCACCAACCGGAAGACAAGGATTTGTAACAAGTGGGAAACAACGGGGTATTGCCCATTTGGCACCAAGTGCCGTTTCGCTCACGGGGCAGCAGGTAAGGCTTAAATTCTAATTGTTCTCACCAACTGACGATACCATCCTTCATTCCTTCTTGTTCATCTGTTCAAATTTGTGTTAGTTTACCTCATTTTATCTGAAAAAAATGAACTTCATTTCCAATAGAAGTCTATTTAATCATTTGATAATCTGATATAATATGATGGAGAGAATGTGTAGTGTTTTAAAAAGAGCTAGCGAGTAGGGAAGTAATCAAGGTCACACAATATTTAAGTTGAACTAGGAAAAAGAGTGGAACTGGGTGGGATGCTGTGATTTAAGAGGAAAAGAATTAATCCTAAGCTTCCAATAAGAGCCATGGGGTCCCAGTTTAAGTTTTTATTACTCAAATTAAATTTCATTCAAAACCAACAAGTTTAATCTTTTGGTTGAATTGATTCATTGGCATAGTATCAAAGTTTTGCAGACCTATAAGCTGCAAGTTCAAATCTTACCACCACCCAATTAAAAAATAATTAATATTCACATGCAAGACTCGAACATAAACAAAATTTGTCTTCTCATTTGGGGGCTTGTTAGAGCATAAACAAAATTCAATTGTTATAAATGATGATTTCTTGTGAAAAGTTTTTAATGAAGAAAGTTTAGATCTAGATTTTGTTTGAAAATAACATTTTTAAATATTAGTGTTAGTGTTTTAGAAAAAAATTAAAGATATAGATTAAATTTAAAAATAGTAAAGTGAAACGCTGCTGTTAGATGACCTTTTCAAAACATTAATGCAAAATGCTCAAATTGTTTCTGTACATATTCCTATATATACTTTTTAACATAAGTTTTAAAGATTAGAATTAATAACTTCACTATTCATCAAATGCTTTGTTTTTCTAAAAATGAACAAGTTTGTTGTGAAGGAGAATTTGAATACTCAGGATCATTCAATTTGGTATCCTTCTCACAACTCAAATTTTCCATATTTTGATACTACAAGTAATTATTCATATTTTGATACTACATATAATTATGCATATACAAAATTTGAAAAGTTGTTAAAAGGTGAAAATTGTATAATTTGAATATATTTAGAAGAGAAATAAATATTTTGTAAAATAAATCATTTTTTAAAAAAGAGAGAAAATAGTAAAAAAATGTTTTTGAATGAATATATAAAAAAGTGAAAAAACTTTGAGAGGAGGAAATAGGTATAATTTAATTAACCTACTTAAGATGTGTTTTTTTGTCTTTGATATGGAGGTTTTTTCTTGACGGAGTAACTAAAAAAGAACCCTAAAAAGTCTAAAAAAAGAAATATCACCTCCCAAATGCCTTACGCATGTGACCACTCCGCACATACCCAATGTTCTTCTCTATGGCTTTTGGTTATATATATACTAATACTCAAAAATAACCTAATATATATAAGATCCTACATGGAGGTTCGTGGGGTCTCGGGACCCCGTGGGACTCCAAGTGGATCCGCCTCTGGAGCCTAGAGCATTACAATTTTGCATTTTATGCTGAGAAATGCTAGAGTCACAAACACTTCAGTCACAAAATACACAATCTTGCTATTTATGTACCTCACTAAATGAATAAAATGATGTTAAATAATTTAAAAGTAAATATTTAAGTACACAAATGGTAAGTTTGTAAATTTTGTGACCAAAGTGCTTGTGAATCTAGCATTTCTCTTTTATGCTTGACAGACTATTAGTTTACCTCTTTCAACTTGTAAACTTTGTTCTTTGCGCTATTAATTAGATATGGGGAGGGAGGCATGCAATTTGAGTGTGTAGGGAGGAATCGAAAACGAAAATTAGAATAAAGATTCATCATTTGTTTGTATGGTGGGGGTATTGAGCGTGCAGTCTTGATTCCCGAGATCCGTCTGTCATTCCATACATTAGAACAACAACAACCCCGTTGGATCCCATGTAGATATGGGGAGGGTGTGTGTATGCGGACCTTGCCCCTACTTGAAAGTAGAGAAGATGTTTCCAAGAGACCCCCGGCGCAAGCTACACAAATAATGTCATTCCATACATTAATGAGCACAAAAACAAGTTTACATTAATGGTAGAAATTTTTGGGAAGAAATTTTTGGGTCTTTTATAATAAATGTTATCCTAATAAAAAGGAAATAGGTTCCGGTATGTTTATATGGCATGACGTAGTCCTTGTCGAATATAGATCGCTTGGCTAAATAAGTTTCAAATTTTGAAATAACAAATTACGGATTACTTGAAGATGCAAAATCTATTTTTAGAATTGAAGAAAAATAAACCTCAAACAAAAATGGGAAAAATTTGAAAAATCTAGACAAAGGTTTCTTCGAAAAGAAAAAGAAAAATAATAGGGGGGGGGGGAACTAAAACACCTAGCTCCATACAAGGCTATTAATTAAAATATGAAAATTGTAAAAAATTGAAACAAAGAAAACATGTGGGTTGTCATAAAGGAATAAAGTATGCACTAGAGTATGTATGTATGTGTATGTGTGTATGTATGTATGTATGTATGTATGGATGGATGGATGGATGGGAACGGTCGGTTACAAGCAGGGGGCCTGAAGCCCGTTAACCTCGTGACCATCCCGGGGCCCGTTTAACACCCGAGGCAGATAGCCCACTATAAGAAGCCTAATGTAAGCCCAATCTAAAGCCAGCCCCACAAGTCTGCAACACTTCCCACGTGGTCACCCATCATTTTCACTATTCCATGGCCAGCACGCTTAACTCCTTTAAAATTCCCCCAAAGTTGCCCCTTTTGAGGATCAAACCCGGGTGGTGTGGTTTGCCAATCAACCGTGTGACCATCTCTACAGGGGGAACCACATATATATGGGCGGGCCAGACGTACGTAGTACTTGGAGAACATGCATGCATGCAATTGGGCGGGCCAGACTAACCTTTAACGGGAGGGCGACAGATATGAGTTGGAGAGGACAAGATTTTATTGAGAGGGTACATGACATATTTAATATGGCAACTAGCCAATATGAATTCAGCACCCAATGCAGAGTAACAACGTTGGAGCACAGAGCGAATACCCGTTTCCAAGCAGCTCTGACATCCCAATTTGGAGAGATCGGGGGTGCACTGCCCAAGCATGTATATGGTCTTTAAGGCAGATACATTAGCCTCTAGAGTAGCAAATATTTTGGTGGTCGCCACCACAGCATCTGCCATTCGATTAAGGGTGTTTTCTAGCAAACCCATGAACCTTTGCGGCTCCGAACTGTTCTGCGAACTACACGACCCCACCGAAGGTTTGTATATGTCCGAACATGGGGTTGCTAGAATAATCTAGCGTACACTGGCAATAGAAGATACAGGTCGCCGCCTTCTATGCCGCATATTTCTTTTGCCGCATCTTCTATGCATGAATGACAGTCTTCTAGAGAGACGTCACCCCTACAAATGAAGCGCCCGTATACCGTACTCGACCCTCCATTTCCTGTCGTTGTTTTGTAAAATCCACCTGGGCGGATGGCGTTCGACACCAGATCGCCCAAACCTGTCTTTATATTGAATTGGTCGTATATCCTATTTTCATTGTGATGAACAAGTGAATCACCACAACGATACCCCAGTTGGGAAGTACCTCTGCCCAACATGGTGACTAGTACCACGAAGCAAAATGCAATACTAGATAATGGAGATGGATACATATTTGTATCTTAATTATCCTTTTTTTCAACTATCAAATAATAGCATTATAATGGGGACCGATTGATCGATCTATGAGTACACATAGACCAACACCACTAGCATATCAGGTCCTTGATGGAAAACAAATAAATTGTGGTTAGCATGAGCTTGATGAAACCTATAGAAATGAAGAGCGTAACTGAGTTTTGAAACTCAATTTCGAGGGGATTGGCGCAAACCATACAGAGATTTATGCAGGCGACAAACTTTGCCAGAAAAAGCATGTCCATACCCGGTAAGCCAGCTGATCCTCAGCTCCCCGTCAACCCAGCCCTCTATCCCGTCAAATACTGCCCAGCCGACTGATGGGTCCGTCCAGCCTGTCCCAGCCACCCGTTCTTGTCGTCCCCCTCCTAAACTCAACGACTACATCTGTCGCTCATACTATTACTCCCTTGCAAACTTCTCCTGTCCAGTCCTCGTCTTCCAGCATCAGGTATCATATTACCAATTTTGTTTCTACTAAAAAGTTATGTGACAGGTATAAGGGGTTTATTGGAGCTGTGGACACCCAAATTGTGCCGAAAAATTACTGAAAGGCAGTGCAGCATGCCTCATGGGGGAGGCTGTGGCACAAGAAATCTCGGCCTTGAGGCTTAGAAATGGGAGATTACAGACTTGCCTCCAAACAGATCCGCGCTAAGCTGTCAATGCGTGTTTCGTACCAAACACAAGTCGGATGGTACCAAGGAACGAGACAAAGCGTGTTTGGTGCATGGTCTTGGGGAATTATCAAGAATGGGGGACTGATTATACCGAGACCTTTGCTCCCGTTGCCAAATTGGTGACCATTCTTGTTCTCTTGTTCGTTGCAGTGGCTAGAGATTAGGTTGTTCACAAACATGATATCAACAATGTCTTTCTACACGGTCATCTTCATGACGAGGTTTATATGAAACTTCTTCCTGGTTATAGCAATGATTTTTTCTGGCAAAGTTTGTCGCCTGCGTAAATCTCTATATGGTTTGCGCCTATCCCCTCGAAATTGAGTTTCAAAACTCAGTTACGCTCTTCATTTATATAGGTTTCATCAAGCTCATGCTAACCACACTTTATTTATTTTCCATCAAGGACCTTATATGCTAGTGGTGTTGGATTGATCGATCGGTCCCCATTATAATACTATTATTTGATAGTTGAAAAAAAGGATAATTAAAATCCAAATATGTATCCATCTCCATTATCTAGTATTGCATTTTGCTTCGTGGTATTAGTCACCATGTTGGGCGGAGGTGCTTCCCAACTGGGGTATCGTTGTGGTGATTCACTTGTTCATCACAACGAAAATAGGATATACGACCAATTCAATATAAAGACAGGTTTGGGCGATCTGGTGTTGAACGCCATCTGCCCAGGTGGATTTTACAAAACAACGGCAGGAAATGAAGGGTCGAGTACGGTATACGGGCGCTTCATTTGTAGGGGTGACGTCTCTCTAGCAGACTGTCAGTCATGCATAGAAGATGCGGCAAAAGAAATATGCAGCGTAGAAGGCGGCGGCCCGTATCTTCTACTGCCAGTGTACGCTAGATTATTCTAGCAACCCCATGTTCGGACATATACAAACCTCCTGTGGGGTCGTGCAGTTCGCAGAACAGTTCGGAGCCGCAAAGGTTCATGGGTTTGCTAGAAAACACCCTAAACCGGATGGCAGATGCTGTGGTGGCGACCACCAAAATATTTGCTACTCTAGAGGCTAATGTATCCGTCTCAATGACCATATACATGCTTGGGCAGTGCACCCCCGATCTCTCCAAATCGGAATGTTGGAAAAGCCTGGAGGCGGGTATTCGCTCTGTGCTCCAACGTTGTTACTCTGCATTGGGTGCTAAATTCATATTGGCTAGCTGCCATATTAAATATGACATGTACCCCCTCAATAAAATCTTGCCCTCTCGTGCTCCTATCCGCTGCCCTCCCGTTAAAGGTTAGTCTGGCCTGCCCAATTGCATGCATGCATCTTCTTCAAGTACTACGTACGTTCCATTGCATAAAATTAAGTACACTGAAATTTCTAAGGGATATATCACCTGTGAATTCCTTGAAGCAAATCTCACAGGCAGATACACACGATTCCACCAATGACAAGAATATGTTAAAACACAGGATCAAACACACACACAGAATAAAGCAATAAATGACACAAATTTGTTCACGCAGTTCGGAGCAAATTCTCCTACGTCTGCGAGGCCCACGTCCGTGTAACAGCCCTCCACTAGATCATAGTAAAGTTCATACAGATTAACAACAATATGTCTGATAAAGTTTTGACTGAATAAGCTTACTATAGACCTCGAGTGACCAACTCTGTTTGCACTCGTCTCCTTGGCTTGTTACACCCTCTCTAGGTATCTTCCAAGGACGTGTTTGACAGCCTTATATCCAGGTCAACTCAGTACTCAACTCCTGGAAGTTCTTGCCGATACATAATCATGAATCGTATGCAGGTGTAGTAGAATCATATGATCGATATCATGATATGTATCACACACGCTAAGATTATGAATTGTGCGTGAACTGGTATATCTGTTTTTCTCACCCCCTGACCTCAAGGCCTCGATATGTGTTTTTATATATGCTCAACCCTGACCTTCTGCGAATATACCTCTCCTATGCGCTAGACAGTCCAAGATCCGTAAAACACGGTGGTTCAGTGGGTTTCTTCAAAGTTCACAAAGTCTTGTAGTGCAGGATAGTCTTCGCCAATCCATCTCTTGAAAGCAACGACCTCTTGTAGAGTCCTCGTCTTGTAGTGTCCTTGGTACTCTAGGTTTGTAATGCATACAAGAAGGATGACCAACGCTACAACACCTATAATGACACTGAACTACCCTAGTGTTTGTGTGTTGTCAAAAATACTGCCAACATTTAACAAGAGATTACACATATATCTAACAATCTCCCCCTTTGGAAATTTTTGACAAACACAAGCACAGACACTCAGCCGGTCAGAACCTCTTCACCCCCTTTTGGAAAAAAATGCCAAAGGCAATGGAACTATTTTATTGAAAGTGGAGAGAGGAGTAACATTCTGAAACTGGGTGTAAGAGTGTGTACAACAAGCTAAAGAATAAACTAGATCATCCACATCTACCTGATTAAGCAATGAGAACAACCGATGAAGAAAAAAACCGTGTGAAAGCATAAACACCAAAAGCTGAGTTGGATAATTGGGTTCAGCAAAAACAAACCAGTGATCAACCATTCTGAATCCAGACCAAAAATCAGGGACAGAACAATCCCTATAACACCACCAAATTCTTCAAAAACATGAATGTCTTTCCGAAATTTAAAACGAGACTTAAACATCAATAGTATCAAACTTGTGTAGCTCAGCTTCAAAGTCTGAATCTTCATCTGCAAGAGCCTCATCCCCTTCACTTTGCTCCCCCCTGAGTGGCATCATCTTCTTCTGGTGCATCTTCCTGGGACTTCTCCCCCTGAGGCTGTGCAGTTGAACCTGTGTTTGTATCCAGAGAAGAGAGTATGATGGCCAGTTTCTTCTTCTTTACTTTAGCTTCCTTGATCAGTGCTTTGTGTCTATCAATTTGTTCCTGGAGCAGTTGGATCTCTGTTCTAAGGAATGCAGTTTGAGAGAAGTCTGATCCAAGAAAAGCAGTAGCGGTCCTCTGACTTTCATCCTTCACCATATCATTTTGATGTCTTCCTTCAAAGTGCCTCATGTCCACCTGCAGCAGTGGGGGTGCAGGCTCTTCTTCATCTGCAACATCAAGTCCCTTGACTTAAGAAATTGGAAAATAAGCAGAGGATAAGGCAGCCCATTTGAGTTGGATTTAGCTCTTTCAGATGCAAAGCTTAAGATCTGGTCATAGATGATTTTTCCCAGATTGAATGGGATGCCATGTTTAACTTTGTAAATGAGGGTGGCCATGCAAAGAGGGACTGTGTTCGTGTGAGTGGTGGGAAGCCAGTGATAAGCAGCAACTCGGAAGAGAATTGCATAGGAACTCTTTAGGATAGATGATGAGACTTTGGACTTGGAGGACTGAGATATGCGCTCACCATTTGTAAGATCTGTCCAGACTTGGCGTTCATTCACATTTTTCTCTGAGGAGACTGATTTTGTGTGCAAAAACTTATTGATTTTAGCTGGGGATAGTTCATAAGTCTTGCCTCTCACAAATACCTTATGGAAGGAGGGGTCGGAGAATGTGTTGCAGCTCTCATTCAAATTACAATAAAACTCCTGTATTATTCTCCTCACATATGAACCAGGTATGGTGACAGATTTGAGCAGGTGAGATTGTTTCAACACAGGAATTAGATTGGTCTTAGTTTCAAAATCATCAACATCTATGCTCCTTTGGGGCAGAATGGATTTCTTAGCAATTTCAGACATAAATGAACTTGCAATTGATGAGATAAAGACTTGATTAGGAAACTTCCCTAGTTTCAACGATTTCTCAGCATCTGAATCTTTCTTCTTGCTGCTCTGACTTCTGGTGGTGAGCCTTTCTGTGGCGGGTGACCTCTTCTGCCTTTTTGTACATTCTTCTTGTTCATCTTTTGCTTTCTCTTTTGTCTTTATCTCCTTTGGAACTTTGCATGACTGGATTTCTTCAACACTTTCTGCCTCTTGATCTTCCTTTGCCTTTTGACGAAGGGACCATCTGGACCCAGAAATCTTTACCCTTTTCTTCTTGGAGACCGGAGTTGTGATTTGTGAGTCTTCAAAAGGAACGTCTGAACAAGCAATGAGAGGTTCCTCTTCAACTAGATCTGGAATTTTCTTCCCTTGCTTCAGATCTTCCTCTTCTTTCCTTTGCATGTCGTTGTTTGGTTGTGCAGGCGTATGCTCCAAATAAAGAGTATCTGGAATTTCAGCCAAGGGGTGTAGCAGAACATCATCTTCAACATATTTCCTTCCTTCAGTACCTTCAGATCTTTCATCTGTGCACTGTTCCTTTGAATTTCCCAGAGCATGATTTGGGGAAATTTCTTCTCCGTCACCGCTTGTCTTTGATTTTTGATTTTCTTCAGAATGTTTCGCCTTCTCCATGGCTAGCAGACGAGGCCAGCTATGCTTTGCCCACAGCTCCTTCTTGAGACATGAATTTTTGGTGCGCTGTCTATGGAGGGCAATCTTGGTTCTCACCATTTTTCTTCTTTGGATGCGATAGAAAGTTCGGTGCTCAACTTGATTTAGGGTTCCTTGGTAGGCTATTAGTCTTGATGAGGAGGGGAAAGTATATTTAGATATGCGTTTCTCTGCAGGTGACGCTTCGGTGGCCGTGTACCTCTCCCCTTTTTAAATATTTAATGATCACGATTTGTAGTACCTCCCCACTCCTTTTTCTTCTTCAGCAGTTATTGATATATTGAGCACATTAGCTGACACTTTGTGCTCAATGCCATTTTGCATGTCTTATTGGAATGGTGCACACAGACCCAAACTGGATCTGAGAGTTTCAAATCTTTCTCCATCTAGAGCTTTAGTAAATATATCTGCCAACTGGTGCTCGGTGGGAATGTATTCAAGAGTGACAATTTTTCCTTCAACTAACTCTCGTATGAAGTGATGTTTGATGTCGATGTGTTTGGTGCGAGAGTGTAGCACAGGATTTTTTGAGATATTGATGGCACTTGTGTTGTCACAATAAAGGGGAATAGTATCATGCTTAATTCCATAATCAATTAACATTGATTTCATCCACATAAGCTGTGCACAACACTACCTGCGGCAATGTATTCAGCTTCTGCTGTGGAGAGTGAGACAGAATTTTGCTTTTTGCTAAACCACGCAACCAGGTTTCCAGCCAGATAAAAACATCCTCCTGAAGTGCTTTTGCGATCATCAATGTTGCCTGCCCAGTCTGCATCACTGTATGCCAGAAGATGTGCTGGAGCACCTTTAGAGTACCATATCCCCATGTGTGTACCTTTGACATACTTCAGTATTCTCTTCACAGCCTTTAGATGTGATTCTTTAGGTTTAGCCTGATACCTTGCACACAACCCCACACTGTAGCATATGTCTCATATGTCTGGTCTGCTTGCAGTGAGGTATAAGAGACTCCCAATGATCCCTCTGTAATAGGTAGCATCAATGTCTTTTCCATCATCGTCTCTACTGATCTTCTCATGTATTGGACAAGGTGTTCTAGCATTTTTGCAGTTATTCATTTCAAACTTTTTCAGCATGTTCTGTGCATATTTAGTTTGTGAAATGAATATACCCTCATTTGTTTGTTTGACTTGTAACCCCAGAAAGGAAGTCAGTTCTCCAATCATGCTCATCTCGAATTCCTTTTCCATAACTTTTACAAAGTCTTCAACATGCGCATGAGACGTTGATCCGAAAATGATATCATCAACATATATCTGTGCTACAAGGATATCATTTTTGTACCTGATGTAAAACATTGTGTTGTCAGCTCCACCTCTAGCGTAACCTTGGTCAACCAGATATGATGTTAATCTATCATACTAGGCTCTTGGAGCCTGTTTTAGGCCATAGAGTGCCTTCCGCAGTTTGTACACATGTGTTGGATGCAGTGTGTCTTCAAATCCCTTTGGCTGTGACACATAAACCTCCTCTTTGAGATATCCATTCAAGAAGGCCGTCTTTACATCCATCTGATATAACTTCATATTCCATGCACAAGCCATACTGATAAGTATTCGAATAGACTCCAATCTGGCTACAGGTGCAAAAGTCTCTTCAAAGTCAACTCCTTCCACTTGAGTATAGCCTTGTGCCACTAGTCTGGCCTTGTTGCGAATTACTTTACCATCTTCATCAGTCTTCTTTCGGTAAATCCATTTTGTACCAATAATGTTTACGCCCTCAGGTTTTGGAACCAATTCCCATACCTGATTTCGTTCAAACTGCCCCAGCTCCTCTTGCATGGCATTTATCCAGGCTTCATCTGTTAAGGCTTCCTTCACATTTTTTGGTTCGATTGAAGAAGTATAGAATGCATTGATCATTTCAACATAATCGATCTTCTTTTTCCGAGTGCGCATGCCTTCTTGTGGATCTCCAATAATATTTTCAATGGGATGATTTTTCGGGATATTTGTGGGCACTCTAAGTTCTTCAGGTAGACTTGTTTGATGCTCTTTGTTTCTTTGCTCCTCTGAATCTGATTGTGCAGTGATGTCTTCCACCTGCTGCTCAGTAAGTGTTTCATCATCTTTTCTGTCATTCAGATTTTTAGATATTTCCATGTCATCTACAATGACATTTATTGACTCCATTATTGTTCTGGTGCGTTTGTTGTATACTCTGAATGCCTTACTGTTTGGTGAGTATCCTACGAATATAGCCTCATCACTCTTGGCATCAAACTTACTCCTGTGCTCTCGATCTCGAAGTACGTAGCATTTTGCTCCAAAGATGTGAAAATGTGCAACATTTGGAGTCCTTCCTTTCCATAGTTCATATGGCGTTGCTTGTGTTCCTCTCCTTATATAGACACGATTTATTGTGTAGCAGGCTGTGTGAACAGCTTCAGCCCATAGACTTTCAGGTAATTGTTGCGTGTGAAGCATTGCTCTGGCCATCTCTTGAACGTGTCTATTTTTTCTTTCTGCCACTCCATTTTGTTGTGGAGTTTTCTGCCACTCCATTTTGCTCACCCGCTTTATTTTCAATTGCTTTTCATTCTGTATTTTGTTACAAAGTGAGATAAAAGCTTCTAGTGCATCATCCTTATGTTTCAAAAAACTCACCCATGTGTATCTTGTAAGATCATCAACTACCATGAGTACGAATCTCTTACCTCCCATGCTCTCGGTTTTCATAGGGCCAAAAAGATCTATGTGCAACAACTCCAGTGGATATTTTGTTGATTGAAAGATCTTAACGGGGTGAGTTTTCCTTATCTGTTTCCCCTTTTGACAAGGTCCACAGATTTCTGCCTCCGTTCTGTTGATCTTTGGTAATCCCCTGTCTGCTCCTGAATTTGATAGCGTGACCAGGTCTTTGTAGTTGAGATGCCCGAGACGGTAGTGCCAGAGCTTTGCATCTTTTTCACTTGCAGAGAAGCACAGTACGTTTGGTGTTACTTTATAACAGTTATCTGCAGCTCTATCACCTTCAAGCACAACCTGCTTGCTCTTATCTCTCACTTTGCATTTTTGCTGTGTGAAAAATACTTCGAGTCCTTGATCACATATGTGACTGATGCTAAGCAGATTCACCTGTAATCCTTGAACTAGCCACACATTTTTAATAGGTGGCAGTCCTGTTACGTTGAGCGTGCCGCTGCCTACTATTTTACCCTGTGCTCCACCACCGAATCTGACACTTCCTTGTTCATTGGGTTTTAGATCCATGAGATTTTCTTTGTCACCTGTCATATGATGTGAGCAACCACTGTCAAGAAGCCATTGATCTGGAGTCACCCTGTAACATGTATTTGCGACCATTGCATATTGTTTGGGTATCCAAATCTATTTGAATTTCTTCTCTGAAGTGACCTGCTTACTCCATTTCTTGATGCACTGACGTTTTACATGTCCCCATTCTCTGCATCTGTAACATCTGTAGGAGGTGTGGTGATCGTTACGAGTGCTATTCAGAAGACTTCTCTTGACTTGATATTCAGGAGGTGCGGAGGTGCTTCCTCAAGTGCTTTGACAAACTTGATCTCTTGAGATTTTGAGGTGCTTCCTATATTAGTGAATCCGATACATGTCATGTCTCCTGGAGGCTTTTCCATAAGTGAATGATGATCTAGCACATCGGCCCCTGCTACCTTAATCCATTTCTGATAGGACTTTAGTTGATCGATTTCATAGCGCAAGTTTGAGTTTTCTCCTTCCAGTTTGTTAATCTTGTGCTTTGATTCTTCAATCTTCTGCTTAAGTGCATCCATCTCAGAGAGTAATCTGTTTTTGTCTGCCACATTTCGTTTGTTCACCATCAGCAGTTCTGCCCACTTCTCTTGTAAATCTTCAAGTTGTTCGGCAAGACTGTCTTCCAAATCTGAGTTTTCACAGGCAATGAAGGCACAATTGTACTCACCATGATCACTATGTTCATCTATTTCTTCTTCACTCCAGGTCGCTGTAAATGCCTGTCTCTTTTTCTTCAAATTGTTTGCGCATTCAGATTGAATGTGTCCATATCCACCACATTCAAAGCATTGTGGTCCCTTTTTCTTCACAGAAGTAACACTGTCGGGGTATTTCACTTCTCTGGGCCTGATGTCTCTCTGAATAAGTCCCTTTGATGTTCCTTCCATTCGTTGATTTCCTTTCTTCTGCATCCATTGTTTTTTGAACTGCCGTGTGAAGAGTGATAGCTGTTCCCGAAAGTCTTCATCCAGTGACAGATCATTTTCACTGTCATCTTCTGCCTCAGTGCTAGAGAATGCAATTTGTTTGTCTGGCTTCCGTCGCTTACTGTCTTCCATCATGTCAAGCTCAATTGACTTCAGTATTCCCATAAGTGCATCAAGAGTCATGGTTTTGATGTTGTGAGATCTTCTGATCGCCTTAACGTCCATGTCATATTCTTTTGGCAATGATCGTAATACCTTGAGTACTAGTTTGTTTTCAGGGATGGGTTCATTTAGACGTGCAGCCTGATTTGCAATGTCTCTCACTCTACCATGAAATTCTGTAATTTTCTCTTTATCATCCATGCGCAGATTCTCGTATTGTGTCATGAGAATTTGATACTTGGCTGTTTTTACTTCCTCATCTCCTTCATGAGCAACCTCGAGAATATCCCAAGCTTCTTTGGCATTGTCACAGTTTGAGATGAGTTTGTACTGGGTAGAGTCAACTGCTCCGAAAATTGCATTCAGGGCTTTGTCATTGAATTCTGCTGCAATCGCTTCTGTTATGCTGTATTCTTCAAATGGCTTAATAGTTGATGAGGTCAGATCTTCTGAGTATTTTCGTGGCTCCGTCCAACCTGCCTCCACGCTCCTCCAGACACCACCTCCAAGTGATTTAAGGAAAGCCCTCATTCTGCCTTTCCAAAAATTGTAATTAGGTCCACGTAGCAGTGGTGGCCTTTGAACATTTGCACCCTCTTCCATGTCACCCATGATGTGATCAACAGCTAGTGACTTAAGCTGTTCCGGCTCTGATACCAATTGAAATTTCTAAGGGATATATCACCTGTGAATTCCTTGAAGCAAATCTCACAGGCAGATACACACGATTCCACCAATGACAGAGAATACGTTAAAACACAGGATCAAACACACACAGAATAAAGCAATAAACGACACAAATTTGTTCACGCAGTTCGGAGCAAATTCTCCTACGTCTGCGAGGCCCACGTCCGTGTAACAGCCCTCCACTAGATCATAGTAAAGTTCATACAGATCAACAACAATATGTCTGATAAAGTTTTGACTGAATAAGCTTACTATAAACCTCGAGTGACCAACTCTGTTTGCACTCGTCTCCTTGGCTTGTTACACCCTCTCTAGGTATCTTCCAAGGACGTGTTTGACAGGCTTATATCCAGGTCAACTCAGTGCTCAACTCCTGGAAGTTCTTGCCGATACATAATCATGAATCGTATGCAGGTGTAGTAGAATCATATGATCGATATCATGATATGTATCACACACGCTAAGATTATGAATTGTGCGTGAACTGGTATATCTGTTTTTCTCACCCCCTGACCTCAAGGCCTCGATATGTGTTTTTATATATGCGCAACCCTGACCTTCTGCGAATATACCTCTCCTATGCGCTAGACAATCCAAGATCCGTAAAACACGGTGGTTCAGTGGGTTTCTTCAAAGTTCACAAAGTCTTGTAGTGCAGGATAGTCTTCGCCAATCCATCTCTTGAAAGCAACGACCTCTTGTAGAGTCCTCGTCTTGTAGTGTCCTTGGTACTCTAGGTTTGTAATGCATACAAGAAGGATGACCAACGCTACAACACCTATAATGACACTGAACTACCCTAGTGTTTGTGTGTTGTCAAAAATACTGCCAACATTTAACAAGAGATTACACATATATCTAACATACACGTATGTATGTATGTATGTATGTATGTATGTATGTATGTATGTATGTATGTATGTATGTATGTATGTATGTATGTATGTATGTATGTATGTATGTATGTATGTATGTATGTATGTATGTATGTATGTATGTATGTATGTATGTATGTATGTATGTATGTATGTATGTATGTATGTATGTATGTATGTTTATCTAATAAAATTACATTTTATTTTCTTATTATTTTATATATAATGAAATAAAATTACAACTTCTGTTTTTTATTAAAATACTTTAGGCCCAAATTACTAATTGTACACGGCCTAGGCGAGCCTTAGGTTAGTCTCTTCAATTGATGGAGTACTTACTTTCCCACGCATTCATATATGGAGAATTTGCCTAAATCGGATTAAAACATAATAATTTTCTCAATATAGGACTATATGTTTTTATTTCCTAGACTATTGGTCATTATCCATTAGTCATTATTCAAGTAAATATCCACCATCACTGGACATTATTCTTCCCACTAGACATTATTAAGTACTATTTAGGTAATAAAAAAGGAAAAAATACCAAAGTAGGAGTAAAATATTAAAAATATACCAATATTGAAAATCAATTAGAATCTGAATTTGAAAAACAATTATAATATTAACAACAAATCAGAAAAATGTTAGCTCTGTCATGTTCTGTTATTGGTTTGTTCCCTATTTTGGTTGGCATTATTTTTTGACACCACACAACCACATTGGATAAGCGTAGACTAGATGTCTTTGTAGATGTTGTAGCATAGAGGTCTGTCATCTTACTCATGTTTGAAGCAACCTGTCATAACAAGGAGTCTGAAGTGATCATCCTATTGTCTGAAGAGTTGGAACGCGTCAGGATACAAAGCGAGCTTAGGAGTTTGTTGGAATGCGAGTACATCTTGAATTCCGTGTTTTACTGATCTGGGTCACTCTCCGTGGTATGCGGTGACAAGACTTCTTTGTTCTGGATACTATGGCTAAACACCACAGTAATGACGGCTGTATAAATACCACACAGGAACGCTGTTAAGGAAAAAGGTCGTGGAGAAAAATACGAGAGATCCAGAAAAAAGTAAGAGACCAGATTGCCAAGAGATCACACAATGTTCATTATCTAAGCCTGAGGTTCAGTGTTGGTTTGTGAAATCAGATATTAAGAATCTATTTACTGAGTATATGATTCACAACCTCAAGATGACTCACGAATCCAGGAGTTGAGTACTGTGATGTCTTGAAGATAAGGCTAATCAACACGTCCTAGGAAGAAACCAGAGTGTGGGTGTAACAAGCCAAGGGGAGACAGGTGCAAACAGAGTTTTGTACCTGAGGTCATTCGTAGGTATTTCATTGTCAAAACTCTAGAAGTCTCTTTTGTGTTTGACTGTTGTAAAACTTGCAATGATCTAGTGGAGGGCTATTACAGAATCGTGGGCCTCGCAAACGTAGGAGATTTAGCTTCGAAGTGCGTAAACAAATTGTGTGTGTCTCTTTATTATTTCTGCTTCGCGTGCTTGTGTGAGTGTTACAGCATTTTGTCTGTCATATTTACTCATTAATTCGCGCACAAGTTTGAGCTCTTCATTTTGTGTGCGGTTGGTCAGTGTGTGGGTTATTGTGAGGCATATCCTATTGAGATTTCAAAAAAGACTTTCCTCAGAATCACAATTTACATAGGAACATTCATACAAAAACCTCAGTTAAACCTTAATTACAGTGCATGCAGTTTAATTCTTTTGTGAATGAGACTTTAATGCCAATGCCATTTCCTCCTTTTGAATATTGCTATATTGCAAAGTTAGTACTGGAAACATGAACGTGAAGATATATGCAATGCATTGCCCTCATTTATTCAACTTATTTACTCCTTCTGTTCTCAAAAACACTGCTTTCAATTTTTCCACTTCCAACAAAACATTTCAACTTTCTCTTACTCCGTAAAAAACTACTTTACTCCTACTTTTTCATACCCTACCTATCACATCATACTTTTTCTCTAATAGTCTATCAATCATATCTTACTTTTATCTATCACATCAAGAGTAAAGTTGGAAGTCAACTACAATTTAACATTTCTTTATTTTTACACATGGTCAAAAATGGAAATTTTTTTTGAGAAGGGAGGGAGTATTTGTTTACGAATTGAAGTGTATTGGTTTATTTCTAAGTTGCAGGACCGATAAATATGATGGGACCTCATTTCGGACACCTTCTTTAAGCTTCAAGAATAAAGGAGGGGCTGATTTCCATGTTTTGAGTCCCACTTCACCCATAGATTTTGAAGTATTTGTTGGAGTAAGATATATAGATGCCAAAAAAATATAATAATACACTTTTCATTTTTGAATGTGTACTGTTTTTCAAATTTATGTCAGATCAAAATGATTTTCATGAAAGGGGTATTAGTTTTTTTTTTTTGAAAAAAACTAATTTAGGGTTTTGTTTATTTTTATTCTAATTGGGTGACGAAATATACTGTTTAGGTATTATCAAAGATGAAGTCAACAAAGTCAACATTATCGGGCATAAGTATCTTGAGACTCTAATCACTCTATATGAAATTACTTAATTCTCTCTCTTATTTTAACTCATTTGATTAAATTTTAGAAACATTTACCACAGTTTAGAAAAAAATATATTTTAAGCTTATTATACGAGTAGGTTTTACAAAATTGGCTTCATTTGAAAATATAGTTTTAATATATTGAACTTTTATAAATTTATTTATTTGTTTAAAACAATACTCCCTCCGTCCCCCATAAATCTTCCGAATAGCCATTTTTCTTTGTCCACAATAGATCTTCTCATTTCATTTTTTAACAATTAAAATACCACAACTACCCCCACCTCATTTAATACACTCCACCCATTTTCATTAAGGGTATTATGGTAAACTTTCACCTTTTTTCAACTCTCCTTAAAAACTACCAAAAGTCAAAATGAGAACATCTTAGGTGGACGGAGGGAGTATATAATTTGTGACCAAAATGTATAAGAATTTGACCCAAAAAAATTGACAAAGGAAGGATGTATCGCATTATATCATCTTGCCGGTATTAGATTGCTTATAATGTTAATTATATATCTAGACAAGGATGTATCTCATTATATCATCTTGCCGGTATTTGATCGAGAAAAGTTAATTCTTCGGTGGAAGTCATCGGATCGTAAGTAATACATCTCAAAATTAAACTTGCAAAAGTCTTTCCTCTCCCTTCTAGCTGCCTCTCTTGGAATCAGACCACACTACACTAACCCAATTATTCTTTCTGATTGGGAGGGGTAGAATGGCCTGCATCCTGGGTATATGTTCTGGGTGGGCTCCTTGTGGGGAAACAAATCTACCTCTCTTTATCCCTTGTGCTTGTTTTGAACTAAGATTGATTTACTAAGGTTTGGTGTGAGTCTTGCCAACCCTGTGGATGCTTTTGAACTCTGGAGCTTTACTGGAGCTTATTATGCTTGGACATCTGGATTGTTTGCTTATGCTACCACTCACTCACACAACACTTGCTGGATCCCACTTGGATGCTGTTTGAGGACTTACTGCAGTTCGGAACTACTACTTGAGGAAACAAGTATGTGATGATGCTTCTTCTGCCTCAACATGGGACTGCTCTCTGATATGACCAATATCATGGTCCTCATCACCTACACTACTGTTCCTTTGGATGGATTGAGTCTTGCTGTCTACATGCTGCTCCTGGACTCCTTTGTTTGATGTTTGAACAAGTGCATTATGTCATGTGCCTAACCATGAGAATGGATGCTGCCCGCTGAACACATTGCCCACAGTTGGAAACCTTGATACCTCTCTCTTGGTATTTGTCTCTCTTGTAATGCACCAGAATTGAAGCTATGAAATACTACCTGCTTGCACTTCACAATGAATGTGTTACAGACCAAACGGAAGAACTCAACCCAAAAGACTAGTCTGATAGGTGAAGGAACCCATTTGGCTTATAAACCCCACATCAATTGCCCATACAACCGATGTGGGACAAGTCTCATACCTTGCAATGGTTTCAGTCCATAACCTTTGCCCCTCCTTAAGGACCAACGTCCTCGTTGGTCACGGCCACGTTGGTCACGGCTGGCTCTTTCCAGGCCACCACTCCGTGGGCCACCACTCCGAGGTTGGCTCTGATACCATTGTTACAGCACAAGGGAGAGCCACACCCTAAAAGCTAGCTTTTAAGGTGTGGCTCTCCCTTGTGCTGTATCAATGGTATCAGAGCCAACTCGGAGTGGTGGCCTACGGAGTGGTGGCCCACGGAGTGGTGGCCTGGTGAAACCAGCCGTGACCAACATGGCCGTGACCAACGTAGCCGTGACCAACGAGGACGTTGGGCCTTATGGGGGGTTGAATGATACGGACTGATTTCATTGTCCCACACCGGTTAAATGGGGGACTTGGTGATGGGTTTATATAGCCAAGGGTTCTCCCACCTTATCAGCTAGCTTTTAGGGTGTGGCTCTCCCTTGTGCTGTATCAGAATGATATATCTCCTAAGGAATCACTGAAAATCAGAAATGGAAGGAATTAAAAGGAATGAATTGATCTGATACTCATGCTCTGTAATGTTTGTTTGCGTTGTAATTTGTCTGTACGACTATGTGTATTGTAATGTTTGGTGTTCTGTAATTTTTGTCCTTTAGATTAGTTGGGCTTGTAATCTCTTTCATATGCACGTAACCATTATCATGGTTAAGCATTTGACTTTGATGTACTTGTTTGATTTGGGTAATAATAATTTACATGTTACCTTGAATTAAGTGTGTTCTTTATTCTATTTATTGCAGGTAAAAGAAAAGAAGCAAACACTGTGGTCTCATATGCATCAACGTCACCTACAACGGAGAGCATACGGAGTACTCCCTCTGTCCTAAAACTTTCTTCCCACTTCCCTTTTTTTCCGTCCTAAAACTACTTTCACATTAGAAAAAAAAAAGATGACAAATGACATTAATACCTTCATGTATTTACACCAATTATCTTCTAACACTATATTTTGAATGATTGCAAAAAAAAATTCAAAAAATCTTTTTTTAACGAGGGTTAAATTTGAAGTCAAAGCCAAAAATTAAAAATGGGGAAAAGTCAAACTGGGAAGAAAGAATTAGGACGGAGGGAGTATTATTCTTGTTAATTTCTTTTCTTTTTTTGCGTATAATGTACTCTGTAATATAATACGGAGTATTTTCTTGTCTTACCCCGTTATAATAATTTCTTGAATTGTCTTTGTGTAATCTTTTATTTCAAATTACCATGCTTGGTATAAATGATTTTTAACCTACTAAATATTTGTTGGACAATTTGATAATAATTGGTCTTATTAAATATAGAAGGATACATCCCTATTTATAGGAATTACATGAGAGAGTTCTAATCATAGTACGAGAATAACTATGATAACGATACAATAAGAAAAACAGTATGATAAAAAAGTAATTAAATATAATATTAATTTCCTATTATCTAATACTTCTAGTAATTTTTGATGGATAATTTGATCCATTGATATTCAAGAATGTACAAATGTATCTGATATGATGGACATGAGAAATATGATAAATCGATTAAATCATTACAACAGGCTGTATCAATTTTTTGGTACAGTGTAGCCGGCTTTACTATTTTTTCGGTGTAACTGGCAATTAGATCAAAGGAAGGAGAGGCGCACGGACAAAGGGGAGACCGGCAATTGGGTCGAAGGCAGACTGAAGATAGGTAAAGGTGGTGGCGGTAAGTCCGGTAACTGTAGAGGAGACCCTAACTACGGCTGCATCGATGGTGGAATAAGATGCCTCGTCGAGATATGCAACAATGAGCTTAGATGTTATGAGATGCGACGAAGATGATGACGGTTGGGGACTGTTAGTTTAATTGGACTATTGGACTATATTTTCCAAATTTGAAAGGAATGAACGGTATACTATATTACAAATTACCTACGGATTACAATGGACTTGGAAGATTAACGGCCCAAAAAAATATTAAATGTATTCTAAATTTATATTTTACTCATAATATGACAAAAATAAAACAGAAAATAATGACTTTCTGGATCTTCAAACGTCCATGTTGTATATGAACATTATGCACTAAACTACAAGGACAATGTGCACGGGCTGAAGCAGTAAGTCAGGGATGATGAAATCACTATGAGAGGTATCTGGCTAGAAACAGAATACCAGTGAAGATATTACGGCCTGGGGTAGAATGCAGCGAGGTCGTTATTAACTATACATGCAAAACCAAACACCGTGAAGGGCAGCGGAGTCGCCAGAGGCCGGAGCTATCCTTAATGTAGTAGTGCGTGACTACCGTACAGGAAAAAACATGGGCACTCTCCTCCCAAGATAAAACCACTATCGTGTGTGGTGATTGTATGGACCAACCGTCCAGTGATGGTGGACATTTAATTGAATAATGACTAATAAATAATGACCCCCTACATTGGAAAATAAAAATATATGATCATATATTGAGAAAGTCATTATGTTTTAGTCCTATTTATGTAAAAAATACATCTTTTTAGTTGGGAGAATGTACTAATGTTGCGGGGGTGTTTTTATGAAGTTGCTGGCAACGTAAAAATGAAAAAAAAGATCATCTAATGGACAAACAATTAGAAACATGAAAGACCATCTAATGCCACCTTAATGGGACTTACTATAGAGAAGCATATTGACAAACATGAAAGACCTGATGAATGAAGGACCGGGAGCCCTCAAGTTTGGGTGTAAATAGTTCAAATGAGTTTAAGGGACGAGGAGAACTCGGTCTTTATGAACTGAATAAGGAAATATTTACAGTATCAAGAACTTGATGCACATTACAATACAAGAAGCAAGGGACCTCCAAAAGTAGGGCTTTTTGCCCTATCAAAAACAAAGACCAGGAAAAAAGAACAATCTTAAAAAGGTTGTCATGGCAGTTAACCAGACACAGTTGGCTGCCATGGCAAATCTAAGGAAGCATAGACCAACACGGAACTACTCTGTATATTAAAAAGGACTTGATGGTGATCGTGAAGGAGGCAGCATCCACATATATATAGAAGAACCATAAGAGTTCTAACAGGCATTCTTACAAGCCTGCAAAAAAAGATATATATGTTGACAAATTTCTGCCAGAGCTTCATGAATGAATACAACTAACTCAGCAATTGACGAATTGTGAACCGGGCTTGATGGGATACGGTTTGTACAAATATAGCCCGCGAAGAACCCTTTTTATGTACTGGCATGTGCTTAAGAGAGGATATCACACCTCCACAACTTCTCCACTAATAGTTCGATGGCACTGCTACTGATGCCATTACATTGCTGGAGGTTCAAGCCGAGCAGATTTTTTCCCAATTTTCCAAGGAAAGAAACACTCTTGCTTGACAGCATAGAGCAGCCCGAGAGGGAAAGAATCTCCAGGTTTACTTGTACACCACGGGACAAAGCACATATGCCGGAATCAGTTATTGAACATTTTGAAACGTCGAGATCATTAAGAAAAGGACAGCTGTCAGCCAGTGCCACTAAGCTAGAATTGGTGATCTTCCTGCAGCCATCAAGATTTAGTACTTTCAGAGTCTGGCCGTGCAACCTGGACAGGGCAAACACGACTTCATCTGAAAGATTCAGGCAGCCACTGAGGTTGACCTTGACAAGTCCTGCCACAGAGCTCTCCAGAAGAGACACAAGGGTGGAATCCGTAATTCCACAAAGCCCGCTCAGATCAAACTGAAGTAACTGCGGACAAAGCTTACCAACCATAACTAAGTTTGTGCTGCCAAAACCAGGACAGTTTCGGATGGACAGTGATTTAAGAGATTTACATGGAGGCAGCAGCAAGGAAGTGTCTGTGGTTAGATCCTTTATGCTGATGCATTTTACCAGAGTAAGTGACTTTAACTTGTGGCAGTTTGAGACTGCATTGAGAACGCCGTTTTGGGTGATCCGGTTGCATTCTTCAAGCTGCAAGCTTTCAAGGGTTCCAGCAGCAGCATTGGTGAATCCCACCAGCCCATGATCAGATACAAAGCAACACTTGCGTAGGCACATCTGTTTCAGATTTGGACAGCCCTTCCCCAAAGCGTCGAGGCTGACATCTGTAGTTCCTCTACATGATGTGATTGTCAAAGAAGCCAGAGTCTTCAGACCTTGAGCATTGCCCATGACCCAAAAGCCCTTTTTGCTCACATTATAGAGTGAGCCAAGGGCAAGAGAGGTAATTGCCTTCCCGTAATGTCCTATGACAGCAAGTGAGAAATCTGTGATCTTTAAACCACGAAGTTTCACTCTTGTTAGGACAGGACTCGACGACATAAGAGTTGCAACACCCTGGTCTCCAACTAGAGGGCAGTCCTTAATGGTTACCATCTGCAATAAAGTACAATGTCTTCCAATAGCTTGGAGTCCCTCATTCCCTATATTTGGGCAAGATTCGATTGTTAACGATGTTAGACCAGGACACCTTTCTGCAATTGCAACGAGGCTTTTACTTGAAATTGAAGGACAGTGGCATAGATCAAGCTTCTCCAAGGAGTGGCATTCCTTTGAAATCTCAAAAAGACCTTCATCTCCAGCAGAAGGCACATTCCATAGGGAGAGTGCCTTGAGGTCGGGACAACCTCGGGCAATTGCTGATAGACCAGTGCTAGTGATACCAGAGTCAGAGTTCCTCCCTCGGACAGAAAGCTTGCCAAGTCCCCCACGGCGAGAAGTTCCAATTGCAATGGCAGCAAGTCTAATATCCGTAGCCTTTTCCCCTTCGACAGATCTTGTTAGGTGTCCATCATGCCCTATTTCAGAACCTTTGTCTGCAAATAGATCATCATGTCTCCCACATATTTCTGAAGTACGGACACTGCTCAAGAGCATGAGCCAGCGCTTGGAGACACAAGCAGAGGCACTCCTTTCACGACCTCCGGGCAAACGTCTAAAGATCTCAAACAAGCACTCATCAGGCAGAACATCAATTGATGGTTTCTTTGTGTGTTCTTCAAATGAAAATGGATTGGGAACCCGTGCTCGCTTCTTAGGTGGGCAGTAAACATCAGCATAACCAAGAGATAGGATTACCCCCAATTCTGCAGAACATAATGAGCTCCCTGTGTAGAACTCATCATCACCTGGTAACAATAGCATTGTAACAATCAAAACCTTAACTGAATAACTTAAAACTGAACTCGAAAATCAGATTAAAATGATTAAAAACCAGGAAATTTGAATTGCAAACACTTTATATTTGGGCTCATTTGGATGTGATTTTTCAGCTCATTTTGATTCTTAGTAAATCAAGTACGTAGTTTAATTTTCAGATTCCGACAGTAATCAATTGGTGATTCTGTGGACGAGACTATAATTTTCAGAATCAATCAACTACTTGATTCTCTAGAATCCTCAAAAGAATCAAGCAACTAATTCGGACCGATTTGGAAATCAGAATCAGCTAAAAGCAGAATAAAAACCAGATGAACCCTGTAACAAATCAGCCAAAACTCCAACAGGCAAATACATTTGAGTATAAGATATCCTAAAGAGAAGGAAAATATTGAAGAATTTACCACTGCGATTAACAAGTGTGGACATGGCTGCTGTTTCTTAGAAGACAACTCAGAAAACTGGGCAAAAAATGATGGGATTCTACAACAACATTAGCATTCTTTAAACAAAGGACCCATTTTTAACTCGAAAAGAAGAAAAAAAACCCTAATTCCAGTAGGGGGTTAAAATGGAAGGTTAGATACGGAGGAATCGGGAAGAAGATGAAGTGTTCGAGCAATGTATGAATGAATATAACAATATCCAACAGTTGATATGTATATAAAGCAAATAATATGATTAGATATAAACAACGGAGTTAAATGTATTTGGTGAGATGTCCAGAACTTCAACGCAAGAGAATTGCCATGGTCTGTTTCCTGCCATTCTTAAATCGTTCAATGAATCATTCACAGAAAACCGGCAGATCCGGTTTATCCGTTCAGACCTCGCCACGCAGATTGTGCATGGTACCTAGCATGGCACCAGCGTAAATTTCTCCCTGTAATTAGTATGATCAGTGTGATGAGATTCTCTACCCTCCAAAATAAGAATTTGGTTGTGATTCTCCACGTTTTTGTTTTGTTTTGAGAGAAATTCTCCACGTTTTTTTCGAGGCAAATTCTAGCTATAAAACGTTTTCAATTTTGATTTTCGGGAGGGAAGGAGTAGAATTTATGAAATGTCGAAATAAAGAGGGCTTTCTGTTTGTTTTTTGCAACCATTAACAAAGTTTCTAAAACTTTGTGGTCGGAAATCAAATAGAGAGTGGCATTATCTTTATTCTTCTCATGCTGTGTTTTGAAATGTCAGCTTTTAGTGTCTCACAATTGTTACTGTTTAGGCTATTACCTTTTCGACCCAACAAAAGTTTCTTCATGTGTTTAGCATATCAGTATGATCTTAGAATGAGTTTGGGCGGCACATCTCTTAAGAGATAACACATGTATCCTAAGATGGAAAACAGAAATCTAGTGTGGGACAAAAGGGTAAAAATAGGGGTGGGCAAAAATACCGGTACGACAATATTTTGAACCAGATCACATTGTACCAAACCGTAAAGCGAGTTCTCAAATGATTCTAGTAAATTATATCCCGAATCAAACCAAACCGTTTTCAAAATGGTACGGGAGGAATTTTCAAAAAATACATACCGAACTGAATCGTCACCACTAAAATATTAATTAATAAATTATTTATGCATTTTCATTCGATGATTTTTAGTTAGTTTAGGTGATATTTATTTAATGTGACTTTCACATACTTAAACATATGTTTTTATAATACTTTTACCTCTAAGTACAATTCAAGTTATAATTTTATTTGTTGAAAATGCGAACTATGATTAAGTTTTTTAAAAGGATTGTAACTAAGCAATACGCATCGGTTGTTTGTCATAAATAAAAACATTTCCAAAGCGTCAAAGTACTATAGAATGGTTTGACATGGTACCATCCCGTCATCGAACGACATGGTACCGAATGGGTTTAGGCGTAAGAGAAAAACCCTATCAAACTGTTTCAATAGTAACGGTATGGCACGGGTCCTTTAAAATACCAACCCGTTTCGGACCATGACTATCCATAGGTAAAAGCTCGTTTGATTCTGATTTCCAACACAAATATGAACCATTAAAGTGTGGCTCGCGATAGAGCTATAAATGGATAATCGAAATTTTGAATGCCGTCTGCATCCATATCCATTTACATGAAACACCTGTTAAAAAAATCATTATATGTATTCGATTAACGACATTCGATTGGTAAACAAACACGGATTTTGTAATCATACATCTGATCCATTTATAACCTGCTCTGACATAGACATCCGTTAAGATACATGTTTATTTGTGTATCCGATCAATTATATTTAGTTTTTCCCAATTTTTAATTTTTATAATTTATTTTTCTTTTGACATCTCAAAATATAAAACATTTTTATGTGCAAAATATACGTATAGAAATATAAAAATGTACTGTGTATATGGATATCTACTGTGTGTATCTTTTTACCATATGAAGTTATCGTATAATATTATAAATTACAAAAAATAAGAGAGATATTACTCCTTAACAAATTATAATTGAATAAATAAAAAATTGACTTTAATAAGAAATTAAGGTATTGTTCAATTTGACGTTAAATTAGAAACGAATACGAACATATCCGACAGATGCAGTTACAGTTTTGATTTTTAGTATCTGTCGATATCCATATCCAAATTCGATATCCAATAAAAATAAACGAATACGGATCAAGTAATATGACACTTCCGATCCGATTAATATCCGTTTAAGTCAAATTAATTTTTTAGACAAATAAAGAATAATAGAGACAACATTTTCTAGAAGGCCAGAGTATTTTAATACTTCCTCTGTCCCACTGTTTTTGTCCAATATTTTTTTGGGTTGTCCAACTGTATTTGTCTACTAACCTTTTTTGGTAAGTCTTGATAAGCCATCTAAGGCTCTGTTCCGTTCAATTTATTTTTTCTGATCTGATCTAATTTTAATAAATTCTGATCTGATCTGATTGGATCTGATCTGATCTGATCTGATCTGGTCTGATCTGATTAATTATGATTTAATCTAAAATTTCAAATCAATAATTTGATTTGACTTTATAATAACGTTTGAAAATTGTAATGATAATTCATATTATAATATAATCAATATTTTTTATTTAATGATTATTTTTTAATAAAATAAAATTAGTCAATTCATAGATTAGAATAATCATTCATATTATAATGTAATAATATTTTTTATTTTATGATTATTTTTTTGTGAAATTAGAATATTAATTTAATATTTTAATAATTATACTTCAAATATACATTAGAATAAATATTTAATTTAGATGTACATTAAAAAGTAATTAAATTTAGATAATCAATATATAGAAGAGATAATATTTTTATTTAAATATCTCATCCTTATAAAAGATCAAAACTTTATTAACTCAAGTTAAAAGTAGCAATAAAAATATATTTTAAAAGTAGAATTAGATTGACATTGTCAATGTATTTTAAAATTAATTTTTCCGATGTCTAATAATTAAGGATTACTTTCTCAGTTTTCTATTTAACCTATTTCTAAAGTTTATTTTTTTTCATTTTTAAGAACAATAATAATAATAATAATGATGATGATGATGATGATGATGATGATGATGATGATGATGATGATGATGATAATAATAATAATAATAATAATAATAAATGACACACATCATAATTTGGGTTAGAGCCAGGGGGACTGGGGTCGGGGTAACAAGAAAACACGGGGGGGCGGGGGGGGGGGGGANTTTTTTTGAACAGGGCACCATAGGTCATCGTTGTCATAATATGACACCTCTTCTTGTTGTCAAAAAAGATGACCATTATTATTATTATTATTATTATTGTTGTTGTTGTTGTTGTTGTTGTTGTTGTTATTTATTGATTTCTTTTCTTTGGCAGTATTCTTGGTTATGATAGAAATAAAATTATGGTATGAATAGATGTTTACTTATTTGATATTCCTTCTTCCTATATAAAGAGGGACGAGTCCTTGTGTTTAGTATGACAATTTAACACAAAAATATTTTTCCATTCTTACTTTCTACATCTGCTAAAGATTTATCCTTCCGTCCCGCAATAATGTTTTACTTTATTGCTCAAAGGATACAATTTTATTTATTTTCTTTATTTATTTTTATTGATCATTTAATAAAATAAAATATCTCATCACAATTTGTTGTCTAAAACATTTAAAGTAATACTTATTTCGTCCCGTAAAATTTTTCAACTTTTATATCTTATACTCCATTCGTTCCCAATTTGATTACAAATTAGGGTTTACGAGGAAAAATATTTTACTTTTTGAAATCATTTTATTTACAAATCGATATATCGATAACATATAAAAGTTACATATTAAAAAAACTACGTCAAAAGTTCTACAAAATAAGAGGTGACAAAAATATTTTATTTTATTAAATACTTAATAAAATCGCATAAATAAACAAAATTTATGGATAGGAGAGAGAAAAAATTATAATCAAATTGGGGACGTAAACATTTCAATTTGGTCTAAATGGACATGTTTTTACTTTTTTTAAATCTAATTGATCCCAACTCAATTACCTTCTACGCCCTACTCATTTTGACATTTTTTGAGTTTAATTTGTTTTAATTGTCAGCATTCCTCATTTGTCAAATTTCTAAAGCTTTCCATCTCAAAAGTCAAAATAAAAAATGTATTGGGAGACAATAAAAAGTATTCCCTCCGTCCACCAAAGACATTCCCATTACGCGTTAGGAGACTTGACCGACTTTATTTTTTATTCAATTTAATTGATTATAGGAGTAAAAGTTTAAAATAAAATTTATATATTAATAAACTCAATGAAAAGTTCTACAAAACTAGAGGTGACAAGACTATATTATTTAACGAAATGACTAGTAAAAATGAGCAAACAAAACGAGCGAAGTTTGACTCTGTGAATAGTATCTGGAAAGATCTACGGTGGACAGAGGGAGTGGATAGAGGGAGTAATATACTCTATATACTCCGTGAGTTTTATTCATGAATGGTACACAGCTCTTTTTTTAAAGTCTATTCAGGTTTGGATCAAAATCGGATCGATTAACATGCCCAATTACATTAACTTTCGGGATGGTCACTGGGTTTATTCTGGAATCGACCCGAAGGCCCTCAAGAGTGGGGTCCGATCCTTTTTGGGCAATCCAATTATCCCACCTTGGCCCCCCCTTTTCCCAACGGCTCATATCCAACGTCTCTATTGGCTTTGGTTTGACTTCTCTCTCATCTTCCCAAAATTTCTTTCATTCTTCTTCATTTCCCCCTCTCTATAATTAATTTTACAGTTTGGATTTAGGACAAGTATTTGTTTTTTTCCCTGCAAATCATATTTCAAATGACAGGATTTGTAGAGGATTAAATGAATAACGGCATTAAAAGGAGTCAAATTCCGCTAGTCTTTGCCCAAGAAAACTGCGAAATCCATTTCTACCCTCTCATTAAATGTGCCATTAACGCCGCTGAAGAAACACTCCCAGCTCCTTCCTCTCTCTCCCCAATAATCTCTGTTTCGAATGTTAAATCTTCTTGGAACTTTTCTGGTTTCTTGGCGCGTCTGAAGAAAATCAACTGAGAATTATGGCTTCTTCACAAGCTCAGGTTGCTGGGGTGGCGGCGGCTGCGGCGGCGTCTTCCTCCGTCCTGAGAGATCGAAACTGCCGGGACCGTTGCAGCCCCAAAGCGTTCCAGAAGAATTTTAGAGATTCGGTGCATTCTTGCATTTCCCCTCAACAGGGGAATTTCGATTCCGGTTCGGATGAGAACCGGGTTGGCCTTCTGCGGGTCCATAAACCCCAGCAGTATCTGGACGCCCGGAGCGATCAATGGAGCAGCGACGCGGCGTTTTCCGAAAATTGGGGGCTTCCCGCGGCGGAGGGAAAAGTTAGGGTTTGTGAGATTTCGCGGCCAAAATCGGAAAGCTCCTTTAGGCCTTCCTCCGGCGGCGTATCTTCCCTTGTGAGGAAGTGGAGTGATTTCGAGGCGGTGTCCAAAACCACCAATTCCTCCGGCGCTTCCAAAGCCGGCACTTCCGCTGTCTTCGCGGAGGTTCCTGATCGTCATCAAGGTTCCGACGCCTGTGAAGAATCTTCCTCAAAGATTCCGGCGAACGGAGACTCCTCATCCCTTTGTGGCTGGGAATCCGACCGGACGCTGATAAGCGGCCCTCAGTCCCTCAGCGGGATAGATTCCGATGCCCCCGCTGATGAGACGCCTGGCAAGGAGCGGATCAAGGTGGCTGACATAGTCAGGAAGCTTTCCTCTAGTGCCCCCGCTGATGAGACGCCTGGCAAGGAAACCAGAGATGATCCACAGTCAAAAATCAAGTCCTCTGAATCTAATAGAAAAGCGCGACCTTCAATACTGCATCTGAGGTAAAAGACTGAGGAGCTATTTGCTATATTTCCAATGTTCTTTTATTTGTGAATCTAGTTTTCTGCTGCGCCGTTATCCTTAATTTTCTTTACCATGACTGGTTTCAGGGAGAGATTCTGTGCTGGAATTCACCACAGCATAACTCAATCAAAAGCCATGAATGGAAAAGCTTTTGCATCCAATCAATCCGGAGAAGAGGACCATCATGGGTCTTTCGTAAACAATTGCAGTGAAGTAGAGGGTAATAATAAAACCTCAAGAAATGGAAATATTTCTACTCTCATTGGTGTTGAGGAAGAAGAGAGCAACCATCATTCCCAAATAACTGATTTTGCTGTAACTGACCCCATGGGTTCGCAAGAAGAGGTGCAGCTAGATACCCAAAATTTAGGAGGTTCTTTTAGCTCAACTCAACTTAAAAGTTATCTTAACGACGACACCCAACAACAAAAGTTGGAACATTTCCATGATGAAACAGGAATGGGAAGAGTGAGTTCTGATGCTGGCTGCAATGATCAGTCAATAGAGGCTGCAATTCCCTTCTGGGATAATGAAGGCGGTGACGATTCTTCAATTTGTTGGGAACAGGATGATCAAGAATCATTAGAGAGTGATTCGCCCGAACAGCCCGAAGTTGGTCAAGATTGGGTAACGGATGTTTCTCGCCCACGCAGCGAGTGGCAAGATCTGAGGCAAGCAAGATACGAGGAGATGCTTGATCCTTTCTCCGATAACAATGACATACGAGAACTCCTTCAAAGGTACAAAGCACTTTCTTGTATATGGATGGAATCCTTGAAATTCTCTGTTCTGTTTATTAGGAAAACTAGTATGGGCTTCTATCGTTAGATTTGATGTGCTATTATGTGTGATCAGGAGAAGTGTTTCAAAGTTTCTTTCTGGGAGTATGAGGGACAAGATAGAGCAAATGATGATATCTCGCTTGCAAAGACCACCAGTTCCGGTGAAAACCAACATGCAGGAAACAACAAGAGATAAAATGCCTGTGAAAGATGATGGCAATGAGGTGGAGGACCCAGTTCAAGTTGATGAAATTGAATATAAAGGCTTATATGATGATTTAAGTGGTGATGAATATGATGGTGTCGGCTGGACTCAAGAACAACCCGATGATGGAACTGGAGAAGAATCTTATCAGTCTTGGGGCCAAAATCAAGATGTTTATACGAGTTTCGACTCTGATCGTGTTGCATCTATAGCCTCCCCACGATCTCAATGTGCAAACTTTTCTTCACCTAGGTCATATCCACCCTCCTCCACATGCCACCCTTCAAATGTGAGTGGCTATTATCTTTTTTCTCTGTTTAGTTTTTGTATAGTTACTAGATTTTCTTTCAAGTTTCTGGAAACTCTGACAATGGATATCGTTCTTTAACAGGAAATAGAACTCATATATGAACTAAGGGAGCATATGGTGCAACTCCACCAAGAAATGTCTGAACTCAGAAGTTCTATAAAGAGCTACACGAACATGTTTGCAAAATTACAAGGCTCATTGAAGCACGGGGATGCAGCAGCTCTCAACAAGTTAGGTGAGCATGGAGGACAGTCAGTTTTCTAAGAACACTACATTTTTGTATCATATCTACACTCCATTACAAATATTTAAGTTGAAATTTTTGCAATGCAGGTCAAAAGAGGAGGAGTTCAAGCAGTAAACATCCAAGCAATCAAAAATGCTGTATCTGCTTTGAGATGAAAATCGATTCTCTCCTATACAGGTAAAGAAACTACAAGATATATTGTGCCGATGGTACCATATAGTACTATTATGTAGCATTGTTACTATGCCGATGGTAAAAAATTTTCAGATGCGGGCATATGTGCACCTGCTTCAATTGTGCCCATGAGCTGGTTTGGAGCAATGGAAAGTGTCCGGTATGCCATTCGCCAATAGTAGACGTGGTACGTGCTGTATATGCTCATTCATGAGGAGCAAACAAACTTCTTACAGAGGAGGCTGCCTTAAAACTCTGGCTCTTAAGGTATTTTGCACAGAGGCAGCCATCAGGAGGCTTCCTCATCACACATTGACATATGGAATGTTTACTACGTACGACCGACGTGACTTACAAGTTTACGAAATTACCTTGTAAATAACAGAGAAAATAACCCTTTTGCAGATTTAGGTAGTAGCCAATGTGAGCAAAGGACCCCGAAAATCCGAAATAATATGACATCTTTTTTGTTGTTTCCAAATTCCAAGTGTTCTTTGAAATAATATGACAAATATTCTATCAACTGGAGAGTTTCTAACCAAGTAACTCTTCGCAGTAACACATCAGTAGTATAAGGAGTACATTAGTATTTCTGACATTGTGCCGTTTGTGCCAGAAAGTAAAAACAACAACAACAACAACCCAGTTGAATCTCACATCAGTAGGGTCTGGGGAGGGTGTCTGTACGCAGACCTTGCCCCTACTCGGAAGTAGGGAGGCTGTTTCCAAGAGACCCCCGGCTCCACCTGCACAAAAATATGGAAGAGAACACAGTATAGCACAGATAAGACACCAAGTATAAGCAACAAGTACAAACAATAGCCAAAGATTCCCAACAAATACAACACACTACAATTTCAAAAGCTTGCATATGCATTCCCTCTAACTATTTTACATTCATTTTTCTAACAAAAAGAGACATTAATGCTCATTTTTCAAGTAACATGAGATACAAGAGCTCATTGTCCTATTTGTCGTTCATTTCTTAATTTCTTTTTTACAATTGTGCTTTATAATATTTTTAAATCCAAAATTTTTTGAATAAAAAATAAAAAAATTTTGATATAAAAATTAATACTCCACATATTTCATCTGCCTCAAGTTAAATATTTTGTATGTTTGTTTTCCAAGATAAAAAACTTCTTTCACCCTCTTTTTCCTTCTTCTTCTTCAAAACTCCCCTCACCCCACCCCCACATCCACCCTCATCAGACCCCCCCCCCTTCCCTTCCACTTTTTTCAGCACCACCCATTTCTTCTCTAGTCCCCTTTTTTTGGTTAAATATTTTACTCCTTTTTTTAGGTTTTTTGTTTCATATTTTATTCGATTTTATTCGTTTGTTTTTTGTTTTCAAACTTTTATTTTTGTTAGAGTTTTTTATTTTTTTATATTGTTATTTTAATATTATTTGTTTGCTTAGTTAAGATTGTTTTTGTGAAATGTTTCAGGTAAGTTGCAATAAAATTTGTGTGACCAATATATGTAATTGCATGTTATATTATTTGTTTGTTTAGTTACTCAAGGTCTTCATTGCAAATCAAAATCTTTTACCCTTGGTGATTTGTGACACATGAAATTGGCACATAAAGTTGGACATAACTGAAAACCGACTTCTTGAGTAAAAGCTCAACATGCGACAAAGATTGACATTGACTTTTGTTAATCGTCATTATATATGAAATCATAATTGGGAATTGTAGTTCCATAAATATGAAGAGTTAATAGTAGCATTGACAATGTCTTGTCTTCTTCCGTTACGAATGACGGGTAGAATTCGACGAAAATCTCCTCAAAACACAAATGTCTTCCATCCAAAAGGTAGCTCTGCATTTGATGGACTAATTACGACCATCAGTGAAAAAGAAGGTGAGTTATCATTCTTTTTTTTGCTCGGGGTGGAGGGTTAAAACTCTAGGGAGCTAAGGTAGTGGCAAGGATCTTGACAGGGTTAGTTGAGATGGAGTCACAGGTACAACGATAACTGGAAGCGGCAAGGATCGTGTGGTATTGAACAAGCTAAGGTGGAGCCATAAAAGCAATAAAGGGTGACAAAGATCTTACGGTTTTGAGCAAGATTGGGTCACAAGAAAATTTACAATGTGACGGTGATCTCGGTGGATTGATCGTGGTGGAGCCACATGGTTTTTCTTTTCTTCTTTGAGGTTGGTGCTGTAACACCCCACCCTGGATGACCCGAGTCATCCAGACCAGAGTGCTAGTAAAACTGGGTTACTTTGTAAAATATTATTTATCTGAAATCTATTCTCTTTTTGATAACTTAAGAGAAATAAAAACAACGTTTGCCGCGTAAACTTAAAGTAAAACATCCACAGTTAATACAACCTTGGGTTCAAGCCCAAAAATAAAGTAAAATCAAGTTCGTCGTTTTATTTATTATTAAATATTAAATAAGAACTCTTTTGGTACGGCCTCCGCGTCCAAGCTTTCCTCCTCAGCAGTCGTTCACCTTGCTAATACCTGCGTGCAGTTAAAAAAAACTACACGCTCAGCAAAGCTGAGTGGCAAATAACCAATAGACATATATAACATGTAAACATATATATTTTTGAGCATTTTAGGTTATTCCTGTTCTATGAGCGTTTTGCATAATTAAAAATCATTAAATAGATAATCTCACTTTGAGAAGTTACTTGGGGACATTTAGAAAACACTTGACCTACTAGGTTAACCACAGATTAGGAACTAAGCCGTGACTAGGCTGGAACACCGCACTAGTCGATACGTAGTTTTACTTCGGATACCTCCCCGTGACCTCGGGTCCAGTAATCAGAAGTGAACCCTAGACCCACGGGGTCATCGTCGGGTTCTCGTGCGCACGTTGTGGTATGATTGTTTATAGGCTCATCCACATGGGCACGGTCCGGCCTTGAAAGTGGTTTGACCCACTTAATAAAAACGTGACAGTACTTGGTCAGAGTACGTCGATATATAAATCTTGAACTTTTACTTAGTCCACTAATTTGTTTGATTAATCTAGCTAGTAAAGTCATTTACATAAATCGTGTTTTTTAATCCCTTAAAAAAACATTATACGATATTGTCCCCTTTTTCATTTTTCAAAACATCATGCAACTTGATTAATTAGACATTCAAAGGGTTAAAAAGAAATTTATAACTCTATTCATTAATCAATCATATACCAATATTTTTAAGGAAACAAACATACCAATTTTTTTTATAATTATTATCACTTACGACATGAAACAAAAACAATTAAATGGAATCGACAAAAGTTTATTATGACATGAACAAAGTCTCATTTTTGTTTATAAAACTAACCAAACTTTTTTTTTAAACCTTTCGACCAAACTGTAGTTTGATCAATCATAATCATTGATTATGATTAATCATTATAAAACCTTCGCCCCTTACTATTTAAAAGCAAAACTTTTTTTTTACTCTAGTTTTTTTTAAACCCTCGGCCTTGTTTATAAAACCCAAAATGTTTTTTTTCCCTTTTTCCTTTTTATACTCTAGTTTTTTTTAACCCACGGCCTTTTTGTTTATAAACCAAACTTTTATATTTTTTTTTAAACTACTGCCGTATATATATTAATCATCATAATAACCAACCTTTTTTTGCTATCATTTTCTTCCCTTAACCTTCGGTTATGATAATTCTTTTTTTTATTTTAAAAAAAAGTACTAATGATAGTAATAACAACAACAACAACAACAACAACAACAACAATAATAATAATAATAATAAAGAATAAAAAGTTCATTCTTTATCCATTACCGGAAGTGTACAATTACACTTTTCTTTTTGTTTCTTTTTTTTTAAGCCAGGTGAAATTTATGTGCAACATGTATATATATTTTTTATTATTATAATTATTATCCTTCTCTTTTAATTTATTATCTAGAGGAGTAAATTCATGTATGAAAAAGTAAAAGGAAATGCACAAAAATATATTAACATGAAATATATATCTAAAGGTTAGGGTCAACGGCACACCTTAAGTGTCGGTTTTGACAACACAATAGTTGGACAAATCTTGGCGGAATAATTCCGTGATGCGTCTCCCGTGTATCTCCCTTCCAGCAACACCACAACCCCGCTCCTACTAGCTCACTCCTTCTCCCTCTACTTAGCTATGAATATATATTTTTTCCAAAATGATTATGTGTTCTCCCTTCCTAAGGAACCCCTATTTATAGGGTGGGGAGAAGGTGCTAGAAAGTGATGGGAAGATGGATGGTTCCCAAATAAATAAAATATTATTTAATTATTATTATCAAATTAATAAAATCAAAATTATTACTCCTCTTAATGAGGTGAAATGAATGGAGAAGAGGTTACAAAAGTTATAGGCGTGAGAATGAGAAAACAAAAGGTTTTCTTGCTCTGTTGATTTAGTACCACGTGTCCAATTTCCACAGTTTCAATTATTAAATATTCCCAGAAAAATATAAAACTTATACCGTTAAGTTCCATATTTTTCACACATCATTTTGACATAATTTGTTTGTCGAGAAAAATAGGTTCACTTGAACAAATTAAACTGTATTATTCAAATAGTAGAGAACCAAAACTAATTTTATTCACTTCATTATTTTTTCCATCCCCACTATTAATGGATCGTTTAAAATTAAATTCCAATTTGATTATCTTTAAATAAATAAAAGTATTATTTTTTTACTTTTATCTAAATACTAATCATTTCTTTGTACTAGAAAGTCAAAATTTCTAGACCAGTTTTCAGGGCGTTACAGGCGCGCAGTGATCTCAAGGAGTAAATCGAGATAGAGCCAAGGTAAATTTATCTTTGGGGTGGCGATGATCTCACGGGACAAGTGATGTGGAGCTACAAAATTTTTTTATTATTCAAACAAAGTGTGTAAAGATGGTGAAAACAGAGGCAGGAAGAAGAAAGAAGAAAAGAACAGATCAATCAGCTTCCATTAATGGAGGAATTGTGTTTCTCTCTCTTACACAATTACAGAGACGAGCTAAAACTACAGGAATGGAATGCACTATCTAATATACCAGGGAAAAGGGAAAGGAAATATCTAGAAACTAACTTGTAACTAACTAATAACCAACATTGACCATTGACCATATTGGTTATAACAAACACCCAAGATATATTTCTACATCCCCCCCTCAAGGTGGACTGGGAGTAGCATGCAACAGTCCAAGCCTTGCAATCATGTCACTGTGATGTGCTTGTCCCAAGAGCTTTGTGAGAATGTCAGCAAGTTGTAATCTTGATGGAACAAAGGCAGTTTGCAAGAACCCTTCAGATATCTTGTCACGAGTATAATGGCAGTCTATATTCAAATGCTTTGTTCTCTCATGAAAGACAGGATTAGAGGCTATGTGCAGTGCAGCTTTGTTGTCACAAAATAGAGTGATTGGAAGATGAGGAGGAATGGATAAATCATTGCAGATGTAATGAACCCATTCCAATTCTGAAGTAGTGGCAGACATGGCTCTGTACTCAGCTTCTGCAGAGGACTTGGAAACAGTTTTCTGTTTTTTTGTCTTCCAGGAAATCAAAGCTGGTCCAAGGAAAACACAATATCCTGTAAGGGATTTTGATGTCATTTGACATGCTGCCCAGTCAGCATCACAAAAACTGCGTATGCGCAAATCTGAATCAGATGGGTAAAATAAACCCATTTCAGTAGTTCCCCTCAAGTATTTCAGAACATGGTAAGCAGCTTTGATGTGTTCAGTGGTTGGGTTTTGCATGAATTGAGAGAGATGCTGAACAGAATAGGATATGTCAGGACGTGTTAGTCCTAAATATAGAAGTCTTCCAATAATTCTTCTATATTGATCTGGTTTGTCAAGTGGAACCCCAGATTCATGGGATAATTTGAGATATCTTGGCAAAGGAAACGCAGCAGTGGCATCATCAGGAACTCCAGCATCTTTAAGAAGATCAAGAATATATTTTCTTTGATTTAGAAAACTCCCTATGGCAGATCTGGAAATCTCCATGCCCAAAAAATATCTGGCCATGCCTAGATCTTTGATGGTAAATCTAGTATGTAGGGCCTCCTTCACCTTCTTGATTTGTTCTGTATCTTCTCTAGTAATAAGGACATCGTCCACATATACCAAGACAATTGTAAATTTGCCATTGTATCTCCTTGTAAACAGAGCATAATCATGCTTGGATTGTGTGAATCCCTCTGCTGTGAAGAACTTGGACAACTCAATATTCCACTGTCTTGATGCCTGCTTGAGCCCATATAAGGATTTTCTCAATCTACAAAATTGACCAGGTTTAGCTTTGGTGTAACCTGGTGGAGGCACCATATAAAATTCTTCATCTAAATATCCATGCAAGAATGCATTATTGATATCCAATTGATGAAGAGGCCAACCCTGAGCAGTAGCTAAAGCAATCAGTATCCTCACAGTGGGAAGCTTAGCCACAGGTGAAAATGTGTCTTTATAATCCTTTCCTGGAATTTGATCATATCCTCTTACTACCAATCTGGCTTTATATCTTTCAATGTTACCATTTGGTAAGTATTTGATTTTGTAAACCCATTTTGGTGTAAGTGGCTTCTGCCCAGGAGGCAGAGTAGTGAGCTCCCAAGTGTGATTCTCTTCAAGAGCAACTAACTCCTTCTTTATAGCTTCTATCCACTCAGGTTTATCCTTGGCTTGAGAATAATAGTGCGGTTCTGGAGTAGCCAGTACTTTCTTCAGGGATGTAAGAAAGGCTGTGGAATGGTAGGCCAGATCTGCATTTGCCATTCCTTTGGTAGCAGCATAAAAACTATATGATTGTGAGGATGAGTCTTCAAGTGTTGTATGTGCCTTGGGTTTGGTTTGTACAAAATCCTTCATCCATACAGGAGGTTGTATTGTTCTAGATGATCTTCTTAGGTTATTTGAGGAATGATGCTCAGGCATGGTTTCCAAGGCAGACTCCTCCACACCAGCATGTGTTTCTGGTATGTTTGTTGAGAAATTTGGTGAATTTCCATCAACCGTTGTTTCATTTCCACTTGGAGCAGTAGCATTTCCATCAACATGTATGTAATCAAACTCCTCGAAATCTGGAGCAGGCAGTGGCAAGGTTGGAATAGTCATTTCACTAACAGAAAACTTCTCATTAGGTGAGGATGTGCTGTGTTTGTAGGGGAAAATATGTTCCTGGAAAAGAACATCTCTGCTGTGAAAAATCTTCTTGGCCTCAATATCATAAAGTCTGTATCCCTTTTGAGCAAAGGGATAACCCAAAAGTATGCATTTAATTCCTCTGTTGTCCAGCTTGTCTCTGCTATTCAAGTTTGCTGCAAAGCATTGACACCCAATGACCCTCAATTCATCATAGGAAGGAGGTTTATTATAAAGAAGCTCAAAGGGAGTCTTCCATTTTAATCTTTCAACTGGCAGCTTGTTAATGACATGTGTGGCAGCCAAGATACACTCTCCCCAAAAGGTTTTAGGTAAGTTGGCATGCAATCTCATAGCCCTGGCTGTGTCCAACAAGTGCCTATGCTTTCTTTCCACGACTCCATTCTGTTGTGGAGTCCTGACCATAGATCTTTGATGTATTATTCCTTTGCTTCCAAACAAGTCAAAACATGTAGTATTAAGAAATTCTGTCCCATTGTCTGATCTGACACAAGCCACCTTCTTATGAAATTGAGTCTCAACCATGGACAAGAAATGAGATATAAATGTCTTGACTTGGTCTTTATTATGCAGTAATTGTGTCCAAGTACTTCTAGTGCAGTCATCCACTGTGGTCAGAAATAGTTTGGCTCCTGTGATATTTGGTATCTTATATGGTCCCCATAAATCAATATGAATGAGTTGGAAAGGATTACTTGTAAATGTGACACTATCAGGAAAGGCAAGTCTATGAAATTTAGCAAGCATACAAATGTCACAATTGATTTTGTGTACAGCATCAACTTTACATTCAGATATATGTCTCATTTTGGACAGAGAAGTATGTCCTAATCTAGCATGTAAAAGCTCAAATTTGCAAGTGTTTGTAGATAACACATGTGACTGGCCACCCTGTTTGACTTGATGTTGTGTTCTCAATTTGTATAGTCCTCCATTCCTCGTTCCTCTTGCTATTACTTGCTCAGTTAAAAGGTCCTGAAAGACACATTCATTAGGCAGAAACTGAGCATTGAGCTTGTGGGTATCAATGAGTTTGCTCACAGAGATCAAGTTGAATTTGAATTCAGGGACATATAACACATCAGTCAACACTAGGTTTTGAGGAAAAGTTACATGTCCTGCTTTAGAAACAGCCTTATGACTCCCATCTGGAAGAGTTACCATTATAGGCTTCACAAGGGTGTGCATCTCATCAAATATGTGTTCAAAAGGTGTCATATGGTCAGAAGCACCTGTATCTATGATCCATTCTACTGTATCATCAACATTCATATAACAAGCTTTAGAAGATTCTAGTTTCATTACACTAGAAGCTATGGGCCAGTTGTTACCTGCCAAGTGTGCATAAGCATTGAGTGGAACACCTTCTGATGACTTTGAATTAACCTTATCAGTCATCATCTTCATCATTTCTTGTGCCACATTCTGAATGAATGTTGGGTTGCTGTGAAGAACCCCCATGTCTTCCAAAGGTGTTTCAGCTTGGCTATCATGGGTATGAGTCATGATATTTGCTGCAAATTTATTTCCTCCATAAAAATTTTGTCCTTTTTTGCCCTTGGGTCCTTTGAACCATTCAGGATAGCCAACTAATTTGAAGCATTGATCCTTCAAATGTTCAGATTCCTTACAGTAATCACACACCCTTTTGTGTTTTCTTGGATCATTCTTGTTGTAAGAAAATTGCTTCTGTCCACCCTTGCCTGCATACAGGGCAGTATTCTGATAGTCTGTACCATCATTGTTCACACATGCTGCCATCTCAGTCCTAATGGCAGACACACTGGTGATACTCTTCTGTCTTTCAACCTGTTGTACGAGACTACATGCTTTGCTAGGGGACGGATGTTCAGGCATTAAGAGTATCTGTCCTCTAACCATATCAAAACCATCATTGAGTCCCATCATAAATTTTACTAACCTTCTTCGTTGTTCAGCCTCTGCAACCTTCCTTTTGGCATCACAGGTACAACCTCCACATTCACAGACTACAGGATTGGTAACATTGTCCATTTCATCCCATAGTTTTTTGAGTTTTGTGAAATATGTGCCAACTGAATCATTATTTTGTTGTTGATCCGCAATCTTCTTCTCGATCTGATAGATCAAAGGACCATTGCTCTGTCCGAACCTCTCCTCAAGCTCTTTCCAAAGCTCCACTGATGAAGAAGCATACAGGAAGGCCTCTGCTAAATCGCTCTGAATGGAATTCAGGATCCAGCTGAAGACCATATTGTCACATCGTTCCCATTGTGCATAATTTGGCGATCCAATAGCAGGTTTTCTGCAAGTACCATCGATGAACCCTAATTTCATCTTAGAGATCAGGGAAATTTTGATTGATCGACTCCAAGGGATGAAATTTGCTCCTGTAAGTTTGGTAGATGTAAGCGCCATGCTTGGATGATCAGAATTATGCAAGAACAGAGGATCCTGCTTGTAGGTCTGTTCTTCTCTATCTGCCATCGTCGTAGTAGATTTCCGACGAGAGAAATAAGATCACCACCACGCAGAGAAAATAGAACTATGCTCTGATACCATGTAAAGATGGTGAAAACAGAGGCAGGAAGAAGAAAGAAGAAAAGAACAGATCAATCAGCTTCCATTAATGGAGGAATTGTGTTTCTCTCTCTTACACAATTACAGAGACGAGCTAAAACTACAGGAAAGGAATGCACTATCTAATATACCAGGGAAAAGGGAAAGGAAATATCTAGAAACTAACTTGTAACTAACTAATAACCAACATTGACCATTGACCATATTGGTTATAACAAACACCCAAGATATATTTCTACAAAGTGGATCTTGTTGGGAATTTGATTAAGTATTCAAAAAGGAAGAAGAAACAAGACAAAGAAGATAAAGAAAAGAAAGAAAGAAGATACAGATGGTAGGTCATCCATCATGCATGTATGTGAGCATGTGGTGTTGATGGGGCCATTATCATTTTGTTCTTGGTTGGAAAATTATTGCAGGACACTCCCTATATAATTGAGTGTCTTAGAGAGAGTGTGTGAGCATGGTTTTCAACACACCAAAGTAGAGAGAGAAACAAAGAAGAGGGTTCTACACAAGAATACTACCGGAAAAATCCAAGGGGTCATGGCGATTGTGGGTGAGTGTAGGGAGTGACCGGTATTTAGTTACTCGGAAAAATACATCCGGGCATAGGATGCGGAAAGATTTGTTTATGAGTGTCTGGAATTTAGCCTCGTAAACAAGAGACAATTTTTTGTATATTGTCCTGAAAAGTGAAAATATAATTTATTCTCTCATATATATATTCTTCTTGTGTTTGTTCTCTCATTTTTCTTGTGTTCTCAATATTTTTGGTATTTACACGCTTAAAATCCCAACAAAAGCCTACGGAGGCTCCGATGAGCGTGGCATGAGTGATTCGGTGGCATGACGAGTGGTTGACGACTAACGGGTCACGACAAAACAGTGGGAGGAGCACAGTTGATTTGGAGTCCAAATGGGAGAAGCCAAGGTAGGGGAGATAAAGTGTAATGTTAATGCAAGTTTTGATCCGATTACGGAGGAAGCTAAGGCCAGGATCGTGGTACGTGATGAGCAAGGTCATTTCGTGCGAGCAAGATCTAGATATATGGGACGTGTGGAGAGTGCCCTAATGGCGGAAAGCATGGTCGTTCCGGGAGGCATTGAAATGGCTTAAGGGACTGGTAGGAGGCCAACGCATTTCATTGGAGATGAATAACGAAACAGAGCAGATTAGAGTTCATCTTATTTAAATAATGTTATTTGTGAGATGGATAACGAAATAGTTTTTTAGGCTCTGCGCAAACAGATAAGAGTTCAACTTATTTTAATAATGTTATTTGTGATTGTTTGTACTTGATTTCTTATTTTTCTTATTTGTCATGAGCATGGTGTGAAAGATCAGTGACTAAGATTGCTCATTTGTTGGTTAAAACGAGTGACTCTATGTTTGATTATCTTGAGTGGGTGTGAGTCTCTCCCGTTTCTATTTGGGACATATTTAAACTTTGAATTATTGAATGAAGTTCTTTTTAAAAAAGAATAATTCTAGGGATATACCAAAATAGGATATTGCATTTGTAAACCAAGTAAGTGTCTGTGTTTATCTGTGTGTGTCTGAAATATAAATGAAATACCTTATTTTAATGTACTTCTACCATGCCCTTTTAAAAAAATATCATTTTTGTAAGGAAAAAATGAGATATAAAGCTTGATAATGTATTAATGTGGGTGTGGAGATGATATGGAGTATGGACTAGAGAAAAATGGCCAAATGGGGGATGAATAATGATGAGAAACCTCCACCTTCGCTGCAGCACTCGTCGTTCCCCACCACTCGCGGCAAGTCTGGAGTTGCCAGACCGCCTTCCTTTGTCTCCGCCCGTCCCCTGGCTAAGAAGGCTAACAGGCACGCCGGCTTCTTTTGTTTTTTTTTTCCAAAAATAAAATTGGGGTAAATTTGAAAGAAATTGCCAAGGGACTGCAAAATGAAATTATTACGGAGTACCTAATTGGAGATCCTACATCGCTTTTTGGAAATTAGAAGTTGAAATTTATACGGATCATTATCGTCTGAATTGTTTTAATAAATACTACGTATCTGATATGGAGTATTTGAGTTTTATGAATTAAACTTGGGGTTTTTTGAGATTGGAGATCTGTGTAAGAGTTTTTAACAAAGTGAAAGTTTCTAATCTAATGAGTAATGAACATATGGTTGGTTTGTTGATTCTCAAAAGCTTGGTGAGTTGTGGAGCTGTGTGGAATTTGAGATTTGCGATTACGGAGTATTTGATTAGAAATTTGAGATTTCCAATCTGATATCTAGCATAAAATTAAGGAAAAGACTGTTACTTAGGAGGCTCATCTCATTTAAAATGTGTGTTTTTTTGAATAATTTCGTACACTAAGAAATTGATTCTCTATGTTCTATTACACTACTTCATGTTGAAATTTTAAATTTATGTATACAATTACTCATATATTGTGGCATTCTTGATGTGCAGGTGCTGATATATTTTTCTGTCCCCTTCCACTTTATATGATCCAGTTTACCAGTTCAATGTCGCTTAGCTGATACGGACTATATATATCTTCTACTGAAATGTAACAAAGATGCATGAGGGGACGCCATGACATTTATAAATTTATTTCACAATCAAACTGAGTTAAAATTTTGACGTGATTTATCTCGCAGTCTATATCTTGTAACCGTCATGCCCTCCTTTGAATCTGAATCAAGAAGCTTTTGTATCAATCTAGGATTCTAGGGGCATTGGTGACATTACTGTTGGGTAGATGCATATTATAGTAATGACTGTGTTTTTTGTATACCTGTCACACACAAAAACACTATTTTTCTTCTGCTGCACATCACAATAGTTGTTCTTTCTGATTGTTGTGGATTGTGATAACATTTTCATATAGAACTGCTCTTTGCTTTGTTTCGGTTTCAATTTTTCATATACAGCTCTACATTCTAACTGCGGTCTACCAATGAGCAGTTTCAGCTCATGGCTTCATTTAGATCATTTTTAAACAGTCCAGTTGGCCCTAAAACAACTCATTTCTGGGGTCCTGTTGCAAACTCGGGATTTGTTGCAGCGGTGTGTTGCTTAATCAAAAGATAATATTGAGTAGAATTTGAGAAGTTCATTCTCCTTTGCTTGATTATGTCAACGGATGTTGCAGGGTCTGGCAGACACGCAGAAGCCTCCTGAAATGATATCTGGAAACATGACATCAGGTAAATCAGACCCCCATCTTAGAGGAAGAGACGTGTAGTTTCTGATTTAGAGCCTAATATTCTTATTTAATTGGTGTTGCAGCAATGTGCATATATTCTGCATTGTCCATGAGATTTGCATGGATGGTTCAGCCTCGCAACTATCTGCTTTTGGCATGCCATGCCTCAAATGAGTGTGTTCAGCTGTATCAACTATCCCGTTGGGCAAAGGGTCAGGGGTAAGTGATTATGTACGTAATTTTGTGCCATCTTTATATTTAGTGTTACTCCATAAGACAATCTTTTGGTGAAAAATGCATTTGTTTCACAATTCTTGCCTATTTTGTTAAAGGCACTATAATTGTAACCAGAGCTCAAAGCTTTATCCTCTAGATGACTTTTTCTAAAATCTTTAACTCACTTTGCAGCCATTATAGCACTTTGAAAACCAAAGTAAATAAAACATGAATGAACAAATAAATAACTAAATAAATTGTGAGAAAGATAGATATTTTTGCTGTATAAAAGGTGAAAATATTGGGCTGTCAATTTTACCCGTATTGATGCGAAGCCGAATCATTCATTCTGAATGTTCGTCCAGAAACCCAAAAACATACGGGGGCAAATGGATGGTGGATAGATTCGATTCCAAATCAGATGCGATGCGGGTAGGCATACATCCACCCACCCACTACCATATACGGAGTATATGACATTTCTGGAGTTTTCAATGCTATTGAGCTATTAAATTTCCTTGGAGTCTTTCCAGTTTTGGCTCCATTCCATGTATTCTCGCCTTCTCGGCACAGATGGCCAGTATTTTTGCTAAGACAAAACAATGCTCATTTACAAAAAAAAATCAGGAAGGAATGGTTTTACATTGGGCTGAATGGAAGGATATGAGTACAAGGCAATGAATCGATAATTGGAGATTCGTGATTTATGATATTCCTAAATGAAGAATATCTTGTGTCTTATAGACTAACAATGATAGATCACCATTTCGGAATGAACTTACAAATGCAGGGCACAGATGAGCAAACGTTTTTATTTTGACTTATTACAGTTTCCTAATCTGGATTGGTTTCCTTTATCATTTAGCATTGACTTGTTTACTTGGCCTATTTTTTCAATGGTTATGAGTTTGTTTTCCATTCCCTTATTTCTTTACCAGGGATGGAAAAGTTAAATACTCCAGTACAACCCTTAAACCAGTTGAGCTTATAGCATTACGCACACGTGATGAAGCTGATCTTGCTTTTCCTTTTGCTAATATCTCTAAAAACATCTTTGTAGATACTTGCAGCAAAAGCAGGAGGATGAAGCCCATTGAAATTTGTGTCTCATCTATGTTCCTTGTGGATCTCTTTATTCCCGTCAAGGTTTGGCTGCTTTTTTTCTTTTTTTAAGATGGCGGCATAAAAAAAAGATTCCGAGTACCGGCTCGGACAGTAAGCTGGAAGAAGGTAAATTGAACTATAAGAATGCAACTTAAAGATCACTCAGGGACCACTCTTTATATTCGGTTCGTGTATATGATGCTTTTAATTTTTTTCTCGAGGCTCGCACTTTAGGAGAGAATCATGTATATGATGCCATTAAGATATGAAATATTTATTTATTTACATATTTATTTGTAAAATGCATTTTTCTTTTTGTTTCAGTGTAAGCTATTTTTATAGTGTCATTGAATTGAGGAGAATGGGGGGAAAGGGAGATGAATTAGAGTGGATAATATTTTCTTTATGTTTTGGGAGTAAATGAAAGGTAAGTGATTTGAGGAGATGAGATCATACTCATCCTTCCAAATCCTTTATTTTCAATCCCTCCATTTTGGGGTAAAATGAAGAAAAGGGAGAATGTTCCCTTCATAAAATTTCTAATCTAAGATAACGAGCGCTTCTTTGGTAGACTTAGGGTTCACACCAATTTTTTAAACATTTTTCCCAAAATATCAAAAATAGCAAGCATTTGCTTAACACCTCTACATGTAGGTCTACAAAAAATTTGGTGAATTTCAAGTCTATAGTAGTACTCTCTCCGTCTCTGAGTATTTGTTCATTTTTGACTTTTTTAGTCAAAATTAGTAAATTTTAACTTCAAATTGTATAAAAATAATATTAGATATTGATACAAAAATAGCTTTATTAAATTTATTATATGAAATATTTTCAAAACATTATTTTATCTAATTAATATATATAATATATTTTATTTAGTTTTAGGTCAAAGATTGAGAATGATTGAAAAAAAATAAAATGGAAAAAATACTCAAGACGGATGTAGTACCTACAGGCTAAGATTACCATCATCTCCCTTCTTCTCGATTAGACTCATCTCCCTTCCCCTATTAAACTTCTCCCCTACAATTCAAACACGTAATCGTCANTTTTTGTGGTATTTGTATCAAAATAATAGGAGTATATCTTCTTTTTAGGAAAGAATTGTGTAATTCACATAATTAGTAACTTTATTAATTATGAAACAACTTTCATCTTTATTTTTTTGAACCCTCATCATTATTAATAACTCTACAATATCAAATGTAAAACTTAATTTTGAAATGGAGAGTGCTTAACTCTGTTCAAAAGTAATTGCGTTTATGTTATTTTATGTAGGAGGGTTAAGGCATGGGTCAACACGTGAGACTTTATGGGGGTGCTTTTATCTAGGCATCTAGCTAAGGACCAAGAAGAGTCCTATATAAGGGTTAATTATAACCTACAAGGGCCAAATTATACACACAACTCATACAAATCTGATTCTTGTGTCCCTTCCAGTTTGCACAACAAGAAAAAGGACAGAAAAATTGGCTCCTTTGAGCTGCATAATTGGATATCAAATCAGGTTTGTAAGTCATATAATCCATCTTCCTCCCATGTATCCACAAGAAGGTCAACCAACTCCTGATACAATATAAGAGTCAGTGAAACGCGCGTGCTTATAGTTATAGCACCGCCAAAATCGAACACAAAAACAAACGTAATGTGACAAGTGTTGACTAGAAAAAGACACTCACCGAGAGGGGCACGGGGCAATGGAAAGGCTTATTAGTCTCCATTGCGCATTCGTAGGAAGCATCCCAGCTACTGTTTTTAAAAAAAATTACAAAGTGAAAAAGTATTCAGACGCGCCGCAGAGAAAATGGGATCGATCTCCCCAATAGAGACAAGTACCAAATCGGGTCTTGCAATAACAACAAACCCAGTAGAATCCCACAGAACGTATTAGAATGTTTTGTCAAATAGTTCAAGTGCAAGTTTCTTACTTTAGTGTTGGTTTCCAAGAACTTCTCTTTTTCTTGGGCTTTTCACATCCCAGCCACTGAAGCCTATTCTGATGCCATTTTAGATAACCTGCAATACACTCAAAAAAAAAAAAAACTGACTTCTAGCCTATACATATGAGTTTTCTAGGAGCAGAGAAAGATGGGAAACTTGAAACTTGCCCTGATTTACAAACTCATCATCATGGCTGCTGCTAGTACTTCCCGGAGGCATGAGTTTAATAATGTTCTCCAAGTCGTGGGTGCTAGTACTCCAAAAACCATCAGATATGCTTGTTTTCATCAACGACTGCCCATTCGTTCCCAATGCATTTGATGAAGGAGGGTCTTCCATAGATTTGGCACAAATACCAAAGCAGCCTCTGCTTTGTTTCATGTGATCAGTTTATTGACACAAACCACCATAAAGATAATACGTTCTTGAGAAAATACCATTTTTTTAAAGCAAGTGATAAAGGCTAGATCCTACCCAAGTTTTTTTTTTTTGAATCTTTCAATTTTCATAAAATCTCATGTGTATCAAGATACAAAGAGAGGATGTACAATTATGCTCACTAAAAAGGAATTTTGCATCGGATGAATATTAGGGTTCATCCCAAAAAGAAAAGAAAGAAAAGAATGGTATACCCACCCAATGAAAGCAAGAAACGGAGCGATGCAAAAAGCAGAAGAGTGGAAGGACATCGTAGGCTCAGGCGCAGCTCAGGTCAAGCAATTATTAATGGGTTTAAGCTTAGGGAACAAGAAACACCAATTTCTACAAGAAATCATTAATGTTGATTAAAACTGGGAAATCTTTGTCCCGAGACTTGGCACTACCAGTATGGTTTTTAGAAGAAAAAGGGAGTGGGAGGAGGCTGCAGCTAGCCGACACACTCTAATTGCTTTTTTGAAAGGCGGATAAGTTTTATTAGAGCATCCGATTTTTCTCTCTCTCTCTCTCTCACCTGAAAGCGTTGACCACACAGATCAGAAGGGAGCCAAGTATTTGCAATTTTGTACTACTAAATACTAGGTTGCAAATTAATAGTGCCCAATCGTAACCTGCGCACAAGTTTGCAAGATACACAACCAACAGTCCTAGTCGGACAAATTGTTCCCAATGAAGCAAGTGTTCTCAAAACGAACTTGATGTGCAACGGAACGAGCAAGTAGGTCAAGTGTTATTTGGAACTGATTTTCTAATTTTATCCTTGACGTAATAGTTGAAGTAAGATGTAACGGATATATTATCTATACTATATTTAAAAAGAGGAGAATTCCCCTTTGCATTTTCCAATTCCCGCCTAAATGGTCTTAAATCACAAAAGGTAGGCGATCAACATAAATAGGTAAGTGTTAATTGTAATAGTAGCATGTACCCTTCGTCTGAAAATGTTCTTCACATTTGATTTTTCTTGGTCAAAGTTTATAAAATTTGACTACGATTTGTAGAAAAAACACATTGTATTGTGATGTAAATTTAATATCAATATATTCATAATGAAACGTAGTTTTCAAATATCAATTTTTTATAAAATATATCTATGGATAAATATAGATATTAATGGTCAAAGTGCAATATTGGAAACCGTGAAAAGTCAAATGGGAAGAACATTTCCGGACGGAGGGAGTATTTATGAATTATAATGTACCATGTGTAATAAATTAAAATGCTGAGTAAAGGGTAATTATGGTAATTAAATTACCCGTGTAATATATTATTTATTAATAGGATAATTCCATATCTTAAAATTTTTAATACCGTGTTATAAAAAATATACTCCTTATTAATTATGGTACCGTGTTATAAAAAGTATAATTAACACGGAGGATAAAGAGTATAACTTTTTAAATACCCTTTTACAAAAAGTATAAATATTACTTTTTATGGTACCGTGTGAATAAAAGTATTCTCATACCAAATATTTTTTGGTCTAACATTATATATTATAAATGAAATTTAAAAGTTTGGAAATTGAAATGACAGTGTGAAACAAAATCTAATGTATATGTGCAATTGTTAAAGGAAAAAATGAAATAAAAAAAATCTAAAAACGCAATTGTTAAAGAAAGAATGAAATAAAAAAAATCTAAAAATGTAGTTGTTATTTAAATATTGTAAAATGAGTAATACACGAACTGAAGAACAACTACATTTAATATCCTGACGGTTCAAAAAAAGCGACGAGGTAAACAACCATAAAGAAACCCTCGAAGGAGCTTATATATCGCTCACCTAAAAAAACTAATTACATATCTACATCAACATAAAAAAAGTTCATAACTTATTCCTCAGAACTCGGGCTTCCATCTGTGGTTGCAGTCATGTAATGATCGAAATTCAAATCGTATCCTAACTCTTGAGCTCGACGTCTTGCCAAGAGCCAATCTCGGTTACAAATAAGTGTTTCAAGCGATTCAGCGCTAATAAAACTTCAGAAGTCGGTTAGAATGTTGCCGCCAACACTGAATTCTTGTTCCACTGCTACGGTTGAAACCGGGACGGATAAAACTTGTCTTGCTAGCATTCCGAGACATGGGAACATGTGTTCGTTTTGCTTCCACCAATATATAACGGTACCGGTACCGGTACCGCCGGTGGCGGTACCGAAAAATTGGCTCCGGAACCAGTACTGAGGGGGGCCCGGTGCCGGTTCCCGGAACCGGTGGTGACGGTCGCTGGTGCTGGTGGTACCGTTTCCGGTAACGGTACCGTACTCGTACCGTGTCCACCCCTACTAGTTACAGAGTAGTACTCCATATGTTTTAATATAGGGCAAGGCTATGTTAATATGTTAATACGGAGTATGTCTTTACATAGGGCAAGGTTCTGTTCCCATAATTTACAATTCCTACCCATCCTAAACTCCCCAGCGCCAACCCCACCCTTGCCCCAACCCCTGCGCCAACCCCCTCGCCCTCCTACAAATGTGTGGCTACGTCGCAAGTTATACAAAATAAGAGCTAATGAGAATATTTGATTTTATCAAATAGTCAATGAAAATACATAAAGAAACAAAAGTTATCGAGAGATAGATCCTAAAAAAGGACAAGGAGCAAAATAAGAATAAAACATTTACAATATACCAAAATAGAATTAGAAAAGAAAATACCCAAAATAGGAGTTATATTATAACATTTACAAATTAAAAAAAATGACCCTTACCGGGGGGTTATATATATATATATATATATATATATATATATATATATATATATATATATATATATATATATATATATATATATATATATATAGATTTTGGTTCTGGTGAGAATGCGATCTCAGGAGAGAAGTGAGAATGAATCTGGTGCTTTAGATTGTGCGATCTAAGGGTCAGGATTGCATCAAAATTAAGTGCAACAAAATGGTTTGAAAATGCATCACGTCGAAATGCATCATAATCCTTTGAGAATGCACTATCTCAAAATCTGATCGCAGGATGCAATCTGAGCCGCACGATGCATCAGATCTAATGGCTAGATTTCATTCTCATTTCTCTCCACAAGGTGCATTCTCACAGGAACCGGCCCCTATATATATATGTGTGTGTGTGTGTGTGTGTGTGTGTGTGTATATATATATATTGAGTTAAAATAAATAATGCTCATTTTTAAATTAAATTAATTATATTTCAAAAACATGGTTCTCTTTTCTAGTATGCGTGATTTACATATATTTTTACGTGATATGCTAACAGTGCATCGCTCAGGTATAAATTTAGTTAAAGCAAAATCAACCATACTCTAATAAGGTTCAATGTTTGAAGTGGCGGATCCAGGAAAAAATATGATCGGGAACAAGCTCATACTAACGAGTAGGGCAGGAGTTTGAGGAGAGCGACCCCAATTTTTTTGAAATTTACTCCCTCCGTCCCGATATATTCGTCCACTTTTGACTTTTGGAACGGTTCATCTAAGCACTTTGATTCATCAAATTCTCTCAATGTGTAAGCCTAAATATAGTCATGTGTGATCTTGTTTGATGTGTCTTAACATATAGATTATTAATATATAATTTCTATAATTTTTTAATTTACAAATTACAAGATAAAATGGATTAAAGAAGTGCATTGGATGGTGTGTAAAAATGAAAGTGGACAAATACTCTGGGACGGTGGGAGTATCACGCTAAAAAATAAATAAATTTTATTTCAAACAAGTATTCCAATAAGTAAAATAATCAATTTAAAGTAGAAAAGTATAATATAAAATATATCATAATTCATAACTTTATATAATTATGATATATTAAATATTTTACCTCTATATCTTATTTAAGTGATTATTTTTACTTTTATACTAGAATTTTCTTTTGTCGCTGTGGCAAATAATTTTTTTTACCTGAGGTGTTCTTTTAATTTTCTATAAAAAAATATTTTAACACTGTATATTGAAAAAAAAAAGTTGACTGGAGAGACTGCCCCATATTAGAATAGGTAGATATTTATCTCAACACACACACACATATATATATATATAACGCCGACCGGCATTATGCCGGTTTTCACGCCCAGGGGGTGTTAATGATCTCCGCGTCATTGTTTTGACGCAGCCTTCCCCTCCGCCTAACGGCTAATTTAGACGTTGAAACCCCAAAAAAACAAAAATTTAATTATTTTTTTTATAAATTTCAAACTCCCCCCTCCCATCCTCACACTTTCAATCTTCTTCACACATTCTTCAATTTCAAACTCCCCCCGTCTCTTTTGAACATGAATCCTTCCGGCTCCGGCTTCTTTCCCGACAATCTCGAGCCTCACGAGTCCGCGATGTGATATTTCCAAGAATACGAGAATCATCCGCCGATGTTCGAGACACAACAATCGGGGTATGTCGAGCGAGATTCGGTTCCGGAGACTCAACCGGGACCATCCGGCTCCAAAAAAAGTACACGCCGGAAAAGCCACAAAGCAAAAGGCACGATGACTGAGGCGGAACGGTCAATCCAAAAGTGGACGCTGGAGGAAGAGTGCCTATTGGCGTCAGCTTGGGTTGACGTCTCCGAGCATCCTATCGTTGGTAAAAATTATATGTTTTTTTAATAAATTTATGTTTTTATTTATATAAAATGATATTTAATCGTATCATAAAAAATTTCGTGTTATACTTTTTTAAAGGTTCGGAGGAAACGAAGGATGCGATGTGGGATCGTATCGAGGAGAAGTTCTTCACGGCGATGAACAACGACGGCTCCTATTGTACCCGGGACCAACTCACTTCCAAATGGAGCCACATCAACCGTAAAGTCCAAAAGTTTATCGGAGTTTATGAGGAATGCGCCCGGTCCTGGAGGAGCGGGACGAACGACGCCGATGTTCTCCGGTTAGCCACGACCCGATATCAAGATGACGGACACCAAGGCAAGGTGCCTATCAATCTTTGGAGGATTTTGAGCCGTTCCCCGAAGTGGCAACAACTCAACAATCCCGATGGCGGATCGTCAAAGAAAAGATCCTCCGTCGACGCCGAGGTTGAGGTCGACGAGACTATCGGTCCGTCCGAACAAATGCCTCCCTTCAACGTTGCGGATTCCGATGACGAGGACCCCATTCCACGGCCGATCGGAAGAAAGAAGGCAAAATCCATTGCCTCGGGTTCTGGAGGGTCCGACTCTGTTTCCGTTTCTTCTCGCGACGATATTGGTCGGGCAATGGTTGAACAACTTCGGGTGTTCAATCTTCGAGAAGAAGAGAGGATGAAGCGAAAGGAGCAGGAGGACGAGATCAAAATCATGGAAACCGACCTTTCTACGTTATCGGGTTTCAAACGGATGATCTACGAACAAAGACAAAGAGAGGTTAAGGCGAAATATAATTTACCTTAGTTTTTTTATTATTGTCGTTTTTTTTAATTTAATGAATGTAATGTTTTAAATTTTAAATTATTATCGTTTCAATTTCTATAAATTTAATGAATGTATTTTTTTATTATTCGTGTTTCAATATAATTAAATAAAAAATTAATTACATTTTATTAATTTAGTTTTAGAAAATGTATATTTAAAAATGTAAAAAATGAAGGTTTGAAGCCCCAGTTTGAAGCCCCGGGGCTTCAAACCCATTTCCAGTGAATCTGTGAGATAAGTTAAAACTGACGTGGCAGAGAGAGAAATTTTGAAACCCCCATTTGAAGCCCCGAGGCTTCAAGAGTTTTTTCAGTGCTCTAACAAGCTCTAAACATCTCAACATAATCCAACATCTTGCATTTAATAAGGTTCATATAAGCAAATTAAATTTTGTTTCGAACAAAACAAACATGACCCATTTCAAGCGGACTTAGAGCTCACTTTGTTTGCATACTCCCTCAATGTGTCAATATAAAATTTACAATCTTTGTAGTGATTATCATTGTGCATATCCAGACACAGACACTGCAATGAAAAGAGGTAAATGTATTCCTGAAGCCACGTACTTGCACTTTATTTGGTTCAAGGAATTTAGAAGGAAAAGAAAAGAAAAAACCATTTTCTCTTATTTTTTCACTAAAATGAGAGAAATTTTATTTTTCTTCCACTTGGACTGGGTTATATAACACTTGAGTGGAACCACATTAAAAGATTAAATCTAATTGATTACTTTGTTCAACTCAAGAGCTTATATAAGATTTTTATATAAAGAATCAAAACAGAAGTTTGAATTCTAGCATCATGCTTCTCAAACTTCTAACCAAAAAAAAACTTCTCATACATATTTATTACTTTAATTACGGAATATATACTACTTGAAACAAGCATGTAGCAAAACACATTCTTGCTTAGTTGGTGGATATCTTGACATGATATGTAAGAGGTCCTACTCGAAGTGATTCATACCGGTTCATGTGACATTGCCATCTAATGTCATGGGATGACTCGGAGGCACTACGATACCTTGTTCGTAAAATTGACAGTTCCTACCCCTCTAACCATCCCGGTAAACCCTCCACCCTGCCTCGACGCGAACACACCCCACACCCCCTTCAATTGCACCCGAAGTTAATTTTGACTTTGGAGTCATTGACTCTAAAGTCAAATTAACTTGGGGTGGAATTGAAGGGAGTGGGGTGTGATCGGATTGTTCGGGTCGAGGCAGGTGGAGGATTTACCGGGATGGTTAGAGGGGTAGGAACTGTCACTTTTGTGAACGGGACATCGTAGCACCCTCGAGTCATCCCATGACATTACAGGGCAATGTCACATGAACCGGTATGAATCACTTCGAGCACCGTAGCACACCTGGATCATCCCATGACATGCATGAGGTTCCAATATCATGGGACCCCCCGTTAAAACACATGGGGCACAAAAAAAGTAATCTTTTTTTTTTTTGAAAAAAAAAGTAATCTTTGTAGTACGCTTTTTAAGCATTAGAGACGGATAATTTATGGGGAATGGAAGTAGTTTATTTCCACAAAGAAAACCCAAGAATATCAGATCGCAAAGAAACATAATTTCTCTTGTTTTTCGAAGTGCAAATCAATCGCCCCGAAGGGGGAAAAGAAAACATAGTTAATGAAAGCCAAAGAAGCCCAAAACACCCTTAATGTTTTATTTTAATTTTGAGGAAAACACTCTCAATAATTAATACTGCTGGAGTGGGGCGGAGGGGGAACCAACACCACCAGCTTAAAGTACTTGGATAATCCCGGCTCACAAGTGAATCATTTAGCGTCAACTCTACCCAAGAACCATCTTGAAATCATAGGTAAATTAGGAAAACACAGGCCATTAGAGAGCTTGAAGCGAAAATTGGCAGAAGGGGAACTCATAAATGCAGAACCCAGAATGTATTTCTTGTGCTGTTTGTCTACTGTTTACTGTCGCGATGGAGAAGATTAGACACCAAACCCCTTTTCCACCATGGTGTAACTGATACTTCTATATTTTTGGATATAAGAGAAGGTGGACCGCTGTGGATGATGTTGCCAGGTGACATCTCTTGATGAGTACTTATCTCTAAAGACCTGAGACAAATGCAACCCAAATGTAAAAAGCATGTCATAGTTCCTTGAAGCAATAAGATTCTAGGCTTCTAGCAATCCTTTCCTTAAATGGGAATTGTACACGCAAGTTTCAAAAGGAATGCATAATTACAGCCCTTTTGATGGAAAGTTCTGTTTGAAAGGGGCTAAGTTTTATTCCAAAATAAAGATCAAAAGAGAGACAAAATTCTGAGCTTAATAATGAAGAAAATTAATTAGGATGCTTATAAGATTTTCAACTAGTGTCAGCAGCAGCTGAATGCGTAAACCTAATAGGGTAAGCTAGATAACATTTTAGGCATGTGTAAGAAGGTTGGCCATTAGATAGTGTAAAAATCAATTAACATGTTTTCATGCCGAGTTTTAAATTGTAAGCCACTATGACAAGTCCACAACACATAAAGTTCAAACAAGGTACTTAAAAAGTGCAAATTGGTGAGTGGTGTTTAGATGGGGAGTGGAAGGGATCAAACAGAGCATGTAGACCGGGTGGGAGAGAGGGGGAGGGGATATTGCATTGACAAAGTCATTTAGAGTAGAGGGTTCAAATATTTCCAGAACGTAAAGCTTGAACAATACATTTCACCTTCCTATTACTTTAAACACATTAGGTCATTCAACCAAATAGTCATGCTTGCTTGAAAGGAACACTAATAGTACTCTGTATTCAAGGACAAAACTAAGTGATTTACTGTTATAATATCTAAACGAACATAGGTCCATAGCTAATGCTTGTGTCTATAAGCAATAAAATATGAAAGGAGATACTAATGAATCCATCAAGGGTCTAATGGAAACAACTGCTATTCTGTTATGGGGTAAGGTTGTGTAAATTTTTAGATGAGCGACCCGACCCCAACAGAACTTGGACTACTCATGGTTTTGTTGTTGACTTGTTGGTGTATCACTGAATGCAGACACGGTGTTAAGGGTTACCTAGTAATCTACAATGTCAACCAATAAATGTTACGGAGTATATTTCTTATGTGATGGTAAACAAACTCAGTATGAAAGAACGGAGAACTTTTGCTAAAATGCTTACGTGCTGCCAGGTACTGATCCTTCATATGCCAATGTCGACAAGCCCTGTCGTTGCTTGTGTTTGGGATTAGCTGAGCATATCACATATACACGCCCGCGTCGTTTGATTGTACGGCAGAACTCACAAAGTTTCTTCACTGATGATCGTACCTTCATGGTTCTTGGCTAATACAGGTCAAACCAATTAATTAAAGATATTGACCAAGATTACACCTGATATATATATATATATGCAACTAAAACACAGTTGGATACTTGGATAATAACAAAGACACGATGACAAAGGGAAAATCAGTCGAAACCAGAGAAAATGAGAGCCTGAGCATATGTATGTGTAACATATACCAACATGTGCCAAAGAAGATATGGCTTAAGAGCAAATGCTTTATTGACCTTTTTTGTTCTAGATTTGCCCTTATTTTCTGACATCAATGTTATTTCAGAAACTACTAAAGTATTTTACAACAATAACAACAACCCAGTATAATCTCAACTATGTCAACATGTATGCAATCTTAAACCCCTACGATAAAGATAAACAGACTGTTTTTGTTAGACCCTTAATTTGCTGCTGCATTTATTATCCAAAACTTTATAGAAAGTAAGAACCAAAAGAAGCTTAATGTGTCATTTTAATTTACTCTATTATCTACCTGAAGGTAAAACATTGTCAATTTGTCACTGATGAATTTTATAGCTCTATAGTGAATTTGAAGGCAATCGTCAAAAATCTTTGGATACATGAAATTCCTAATGATAGGTTGAGAATCAAGTAATGCAAATTACATACTATGATTAGCAGCAAACAATGCACTAAGTGTGATCTATTAAGCTCTAATTATATATTTATCCTATTAATTATTGAAGGTTATTTACACCATATCATTTAGGGCTATGTTCACAAAATCCTACTAATTTCCAACAATATCCAAACCATTTGTATATTACTCCCTCCGTTCTACAAAACCCTTCCTCTTTCGTTTTTTTGCTTTCCACAAAACACTTCCACTTTCTATTAAAAAAACACTTTTACCCCTACTTTTTCATACCCTACCTATCACATCATACTTTTTCACTAATAACCAAACTATCAAATCTTACTTTTTCCCATCACATCAGGGGCAAAATTGGAAAGTCAACCAAAATCACACTTTCTTTATTTTTCCCCAAAGTCAAAACCGGAAGGGTTTTGTGGAACGGAGGGAGTATTACTTTTAGGCTGTGCAAGAAGCTCTCGATGAGCAATTTAAGGATGCAGAGGCAGATCCAAGATGTTGGGGTCCCTATTTGCGAGGCCCACAAATCTCTAACTAATTAAAGAAATTTAATAATTGCTTGTTTTTTCCTTAGGTATTGAATCAAGAAATTCCTACAGCAAAAAATATGGTAGTGTTGATAGCAAAAAATTAGAAAGAATGAGAGATAAATGTAAATGCAGAAAAGATATGATAACAAATTTGTGATTGGACTCCTGATGCAGATTGCGGAAAGCCACAACAGGCCATTAGGGAACTCAAACGATTAAATAAATAATGTTAATGTGGTTCAATATCACAGTTATTTTCTTATATTCTTGGTAACTCATTTTGAGTATACTCATTTGTCATTTGAGCAGGGCCAGTTTGAACCACATAAGGGCCCTGTGCAAAAGATATATTTGTGACCCTATTCTACCTTTTATTTGCAAAATTTGAATTAGTTTCATATTAGTTATAACATTTGTTTCAGTGAAAACGTGTAGTAAAAAAATCCTAAATAACAGTTTACATAAAAAGAGACATCCCCGCTGCATATTAAGATGCAAAATCATCAATCAAATTATTAATTTCTATTTCTGCTAAATTATCACATTCAAATATTCAATAAATATCAAAGTCAATCTGAGAGTCTCTCTTACGACATACTTGAACCTAAGTAATTCTTCAACAATTTAAACTTTGAAAAACTTCTTCCAATGCAAAATTTAATTATTCAACAATATTCTATATGCAATAGAAGCATTTGGAAAACAATCTTTTTTCACAAAATTCGACAAAGGCAGCATTCCCATCTTCTCTTTTGGTAGAAACTCTCAAAATAGCTTTAGTTCAATAGAGAAATCCTTTCCATCCACAACATTTCCATCTCAAAATGATCACCTATGTCATGTGATTCTTCTAAAACAAATTTCTCAAGTGTTCCCTTCTAAGATTGTGTAGGTTCTTCAAGTCTCATTTTCTTTTTACATTTTTAATGGTTCAATCTCCATTTTCTAGGGACGATAACTACAAAAAAAATTAAAAATTCATGAGAAAGAAAAAGTAAATTATAAATAAAATAAGGAGAAAATAATTTATTAAACCGGTAGGGATGAGAGTCCTTCAAATTAGTTTAATTTCAGTACAAAAAAGTTTAGTATTTTTAATTAAATTGGGAAAAACTGCACTCATTTAAAATAAAAAAATACTATTTTATTTATTTGTGATTAATACATTTCTTTTTACTTGATAAAAAAAGTAAAAACACAAGCAAAATAAAGAAATAAAACATGAAAATTAAAAAAACAATTGCTTAAAGTGAAATTAGCTAATACGGAGCAAGGAATAGAGCCTTCTGCATTCATCAATCAGAGTTTGGGATAATCAACTTATCGTTCAATCGTTCATCAGTTCAACCATTAACCAGATGAAAAATGAAAGAAGAAATCGGACTAGCAAAAAAAGAAAACGAAGCATTCAACTTCAATTATTCTAAAATAAACCGAAGATTTGAAGGAAATCACACCTTAGAGTTGGGGAATCCGAAATAGATATTGGCCTTCGCCGAAAAACCCTAACACCGTCGCCTTGCTGCCTCAGTCTTTGAGACTTTCCAATCGCTATTCTTACTGCCAGGTAGGCCGTCTCGGGTTAAAATCAGAATAGACCCGTATCTCTTTTTTAGCTGGTTGGGACGTATTAAAAACGGTTTATCACTTTGTCCCCATCTGAAAGACTGAAATTGTAGCTGTTATTATATGGTTCCGATAAAAATTGAAATAAATACTTATGCACTCCATATCAATGTTAGAGCACTGGTAATACCCCTCACGCCCACCGGCGTTACGGCCGGGGGCGTGAAACACCGCCCCCCGCCGGCGTGAAACGGGCGTGAGGGCGGCTGCGTCATTCCTTTGACGCTGCGTGAGTTCGGCGTTGCTCCCTCCTAACGGCTAAAAAAGCCGTTGCACCCCAATTTTAAAAAAAAAAAAAAAATTCATATAAATTCAACCCTCCCCAACCAATCTCTCACACCTTCTCTCCAATCTCTTCTTCTTTCTTATTTTTAAATTTCAAAATTCAAATCCCTCTTCCCAATTTTCAACATGAATCCTTCCGGCTCCGGCTTCGAACCCGACAATCTCCCCCCAAGTGACGCCGCGATGTGGTTCTAGCAAGAGTGGGGCGATCGACCGCCGATATACGAGACGCAACAATCGGGGTACGTCGACCGAGATTCGGTTCCGGAGACTCAACCGGAACCGTCCGGATCGAAAAAAAGTACACGCCGGAGGAGCCACAAAGCCAAAAGCACGTTGACCGATGCGGCACGGTCAATCCAAAAGTGGACGCCGGAGGAGGAGTGCATATTGGCGTCGGCTTGGGTTGACGTCTCCGAGCATCCTATCATTGGTAAAAAATTTGTTTTTTCTAATATATTTATATTTTTATTTATATATATTATATTTAATGGTGTCAAAAAAAATTGTGTAATACTTTTTTAAAGGTATGGAGCAAACGAAGGATGCGATGTGGGATCGTATCGAGGAGAAGTTCTTCACGGCGATGAAGAAGGACGGCTCCTACCGAACCCGTGACCAACTCACTTCCAAATGGAGCCACATCAACAAAAAAGTACGAAAGTTTATGGGA